AACGTCTTCTATGCGTTTGATGGACATTACACAGAGTAATGATAATTCAATGTTCACTGTCGACAGATAGAATTTTCCACTAAATGAAATCAATTCAGCTACCTGATAAACCGTCGATAATTTCAATTAACTGTATAGGTTTTCCTTGTGACATCACAGCTCTATTTACAAATTTGATTTGTACATGTATGTTTAACAATTTTACCATTCAAAATCATTACCTTCATTTCGAAAGGATTGCACAGTTCGCAAAAATCTAGTTTCATCAGTAAATTCATAGAAAATAATATACAACATAATATCTTCACAACAGTTTTTAATGAAATTAAATACATTTACGTAAATTTGGGAATGAAACCACGCCACGTGATGATACAGGTGAGCAATTGAACACAATGTGTTCAATTGCTCGAGTCACCTGCATAATCAATCTCGGTCACATATATGAGAATATACAGGTAATTTTGCTCAGTCATTCCAGTTGCAAATTCCACATGTTCCCAAATGTTACCCACACAAAGAGTTACAAATCAAGATAATGTTTTCTTCCAATCTCTTTCAGTTCATGAATTATGTATGTTTGAACAGAGTTGTACCCATTAAAATTATCTGATATCTTTGTAAAACAAAAACTTTATTTTAAAAAAAAAGAAAAAAAAACACACACACACAAACAAATTACAAAAACAAAAACCAACTAAAAAAAAAAGAAAGAAAAGGAAAAAAAAACACACAAACAAATTACACACAAACAAATTACAAAAACAAAACCAACTAAAAAAAATAAGAAAAGAGGGAAAGAAAGATGAAACAAGAAACAATGAAAAAAGTGTTCTGAAAATTTATTGTAAAATATTATTTATTGTATATAATATATATTTATATATGTAATCGAAGTAAAAAATCAACATTCAATAAATGTTTGCAATGCAATACTATAGTAATCGGCGGAGGGGAATGTCATTACTATAAGAGAGCTTAAAAACACGCAATGACTTTATGTTCATGGAAATAATCTTAAATTTCTCTATATGCAGTCTTTTATGTTCCCAAAACAGCGACTAATGGTTCCTTGCGTGGGTAATGGTTCAAAATCAAAATAAAAGAAACAATTTCGAATGTTCACTATAATAGTGACGAAGTGTACATGGTGTATTTGGTGATTTTATTATACAATTAAATATATTGATTAATTTCAGGGAGTACCTGTCACCTCTAATTAAATATTACGAGCGGACTCCTTAATTTGTGGATACGAATAGTTAGAAATATTTTGGTCAAACAAATTAGAAATCTCACTAAATTCATTTAATGATGAGCGCAACCATAGTATTATCTTTCCCGTTAGACCACAATAGCAGTCTGTGTTAGCTTTGGCAGCAATGGTGAATTGAGGGGTTTCGTTAATTAGTTGATCCAGAAGCCAATTCCAGGTTGGATGGTTTTCGTCAGTTGATGATTGAATGTCATAAAGATTCATCATTCGAGCTAGATAATAAATTCGAAATGCCAGCACATGCATAATCAGGGCAGATAATTTAAAGTAAAAACAAGAGGAGTTAACCGATAGAAAAGATACGAATACTTTATACACCAATCATATGCCCAAAGAATTTATATATATATATATATATATATATATATATATATATATATATATATATATATATATATATATATATATATATATATATATACATCTGATTGGTTTGCTTGCTATCACGTGCAAAATTACATTTTACGATATTGACTTGAGTTACTAAAAATAACTTGGGGAAAATCCAAAGATATGTTTAATTATAATGGTGAAAAGTCTAAAACTTACAAAGTCCTACATAAAGAATTTGTCTTCTTCTTTTTCAAATAAAATAATAATGTAGCCCTTTGATTCGGTCGACCCATAGGTATTTCGATTTCACAGAAAAGCATATTGCCGGACTTTGCACTTCGTGCTTAGTCGATATGCTTTTCTGTGAAGTCGATATGTCTATGGATAGACCTCATAAAAGGGCTATATTTATATAATATATATATAATTTTTTACCAGTTCGAGCCGGGGTGCATGCAAAATGGGCATATTCAGAGTAATAAATCCACCAACAAAACGAACATCGACATATGTTACTTTATTTAAAATCTGTCTTTAAGTCTTTCTGTGTGTCGCGATTACAAGCTCTCTCTTTTTAATTTAAGGCTTTAAAACACCACGTTTTGCGATCAGTTGTGGGAATGCGTGAAATTGCAGTTGAAGGCGACCTGCTATATGCATATTGTCCATTGTTGCCGAAAGATTTTAAGTTTACACACCGCGAAAGGCAATTAAAATATTGCTTCTGACATTTGGCACAGCGAGAAACGTGAACGAGTCAATCAAATTTTACTAGAAGCGTTTACTAAACAAATGCTATAAAGGTTGATCAAGGATATTTAATTGCATGGTATTAAAACTGACATACTATATGTGTATGTCATAAAGTATACTTTTTTTTCAAATAACTTTGATCGATGGATATATTTAAATCTGTTTTGCATTTCATAAACTCCTAAAATTTGAGAGAGAGAGAGAGAATTCTGTCCTGCACGTGTGTGTCAATTTGTTGAGCAGGATGTAAGACACGGAATTTAGCTCTAGATAATGTTTAATCAAACAGTTTCTTGGAATGGTTCTTCTTTATAAATATATATATTCAAACTGGATTATATTTGTATAATTCTACTTTACAATATTTCAATTATGTATCAATAAAATTTGTTTATATTTATTCATTTGTGATCTATTTGAAAGAAAACGTTGTGCTTCCCAATTTTAGCATGATTGTAATATATTTTAGAAATTCTATTTTATTTTGCCGATAATTTTTCAGCATTTTTGCTTAAGATTTAAATTAAAAAATTTGACACTAAAAGCAAACAAAACAACAAAAACAAAAATATTTTTAAAAATAAATAAGAACATATACGTTACAAGACAATTTTTCTGTTAATGATAGAAGTATACGTAAGATTGTAATAGTCAGTACTAACTACTTTTAGTATATCAGTAGATTGTTATTGTTATAGTTAATTTTGAATTTTCAAAATTCTAAAACTTGTGAATGTAACAAAATTGTTCCGGGTAATTTTAGTAACAGTTGGTGCTGAGTACAATGATACTTAGAACAAGAAAATGGTTAATATGTAACTAATGGATTTGTACTACCGGTATGTTTCTGTGTAACATGCTAGTAGGGCAGGTCTTATTTACATTCTCTTTTCATTAACGCCTCTAGCTTCTGTCGAATGGAAACTGGATCTTTCACAAATCAGGTGAAAAATGTCAAACATCCTCACACGTATTCTTGCATCAATAATAATGTCTTCCAAGGTGATTACTTTACAGAGACCTCCAGTACAATGCGCATGCGCCCTGGTCATTTAAGGGTGTAGGTTACAAATGGCTACTCGCTCAGTTCCGTTAGATTTGACTTAGATACGGCGTATCTTTGCTGTTTGGGTGGCAGATGCATAACTGTGACGTTTGTGTTCCCGGTCTGTTTCTTTATTCTTTTACTTCAGAACCATATGTTTTTCTCAAACAGAATTATATCAAGGAAAACCATCAATTGTTGATCGTCTTTTTCTGCAGACCTCATGAGATATCAAGAAATTCGCCGTTTGATTCTTTACCTTTCTTCTGCTGTATTCTGTTTGAAACATCAGACGTGATTGAAATATAATGATTTTAGATCTCTGTGAACAATTCTTTGAGTTTACCCTGAAAATTATACCGCAAATATCATGCATTATTAGATTTTTAGGCAATATAGTAACTTCTAGTATAAAGCGAGTGAAAAAAAATACTCTACATTCCTAACAAAAGTTATTCTGATCTAAAAAAATTTGCCAAATCAAACCTCGCCCATGAGAAAGAAATCATTCATAAATATACAATTAAGAATAGGTTTCACGATGCTAAAAACCGTCTTGTCCAGCATCTATTCATCGGAAGGATGCCATCTATGGATATTCCCGGTCAGTCGGGAATATAGATAGTTTTCCATCTAGATGATTTAAGGAAGAGTTATTTCCCTATGGCCGCCATATTGTAGGTCAACATCCCCAGATCCCTTCATTATTCAACCAAGTTCAATTTGTTATACTGGGCACTGAGGCGAAGATGACACTGTTTTTCTTATGAATATACGTTTGTTAAAGCTTCTTTAATTGATAATTTTAATATTGTAAATACCCCCCCCCCCCATATTTCTGGCATGCATGTTTAAAATTGGTTGCTCAAAGAGGAAAATTCACTACTAGTACTCTGACCTAGAAGATGGCGGGCAAGGGGAATAGCTCCGAGGCAAGATACGTCATAGGCACACTATCTATTCATAAGATCCTTCTTAAAGAGCAATGTTACGTGACTTTACGTATATTTCGATAGAAAAAATACTTGGCACAAAAATGCATTTTATTTTCTTGCCCAAATCTAGTAATTTTGATAATTACAAAATTAAAACCGTCAGATTTCAGTGGAAAATTGCAAAGAGTCAATTAAAAACAGCTTTTGAAAGTCTTTGCTAGGTTTGTACGAGGATAAAAACATCCTCAGGTAGTGTAGATTCAAGTTTTTAAAATCATGGCCCCAGAGGTAGAGTGGGCACTGTTCTGAAGAACAGTAAGGTGTTCTGTAGAACAGTACGACCAAGGTAGCTCAGGTGAGCGTTGTGGCCTATTTTCCTCTTGCTACTCTGGCAATCGGAATTTAAATTCTGAATTTAAAAATAGAACATATCTTTGTAATTTCAAATAAACACACAGAGGTTTTAATGACATTGTTTTTTATTAATCTTGAATGGGATGGTCAACCAAGTACTGATTATGAATAAGCTTTCCACAAAAAGGAGGTATCCTAATTCGATCATTTTTCCTCTTAAATATTGATACATCTTGATACATAGAGGTGCGTTTGGTTTTGTCACTGTAACATCTGCCTGAGGCATTAAACACAACGACGTCAGTGTGTTTTATTTTTCATTTATTTTAACATTTCAAAAAGGTCCAATATGACCAATATAGCTTAACCAGAGAAGCAACATTCACTCAAGCTTGTGAAATAGATTCACTGAAGTTCACATTCTACATACAACATTCACTCAAGCTTGTGAAATAGATTCACCAGAGTTCACAATCTACAACATTCACTCAAGCTTGTGAAATAGATTCACCAGAGTTCTACAACATTCACTCAAGCTTGTGCTGACTAGTAAAAGAGCGAGCGTTTTTATACACGTCTATAAGTTGGGCATTTCAACAATATCATACCTCATTATATAACCTTGGAATTTTTACCCCAGGTATTCAATGAAAAAGAAAATACACTTGTATCCGACATATACAAAAACTGATTAGCATGCTACGTACATGTATGATTCATCAAATATGGTCCTTGTAACTCTGAAGTTTACATGTGATTTCCAAAGTCTTGTAATACAGTGTCACAGTATCCCAACCAATGAGAACAAAATCCGGTTATTTGTTGTTTTTTTTCTTTGAGAAACTTTTTACACATGATGACATGCTTCTCAATAAAATTATTGCAATGGGAATACATAGGTAATATTTATATATATCCAGAAAAGGTGATTTTGATTATGTCAGATCTACTGCATGATTTGCTGTAATAGTGTGGGCTTCCAAAACTTCGATAAAAATTTTGATCAATATGTTGTGTTTTTTTTTCAGTCATTTCCACAGAAACCAGTGGCCACACAAATCATAATGCACTTAATCCTGAGATATGATTATAGTGATATATGTCTGAATACACATAAAGGTATTGTAAAACAAGAATGCCCATGTTAAAACTGACTAAATTCATTTTAAAGATTACAATAGCACATTTCTCTCTCAAAGAGATCCTTGTAATAATGTGTTGCGTGATATATTGAGAAAACTTCCACTTAAAACCACTCTAAAATATATTAGCAATAAAACAAACAACAATGTACTAATATATTGAAGAGTTTACAAAGTAAACATTCTATCTTACCGTCCTGTTCCATCAACATGAATTTTTACAAAATGTGAAAAAAATGTTTTTCTCGTACATTTACAAACACATCAGTAATACCAGACAATATATTAATCAAAACTGTCACTGTCAAAGGACTCTTACTCCACAGTTTTTTTTAAATTAAAATATGCAGTCAATGTGACTTGTTCCTATATATATACATACATGATATAATTCAAGCAATGCATATTAATCACAATACTGCAATCCCAAATTATATCATAGATTACACATAATCAACGAACTGCAGTGCATGTGTTCACAAATCTTTCCTACGCTATACTAATTCTTGTCTGAATTTACACAAAATCAATGATTTACAAAGGCTTTATGTACAATCAAGGGAATAAAAAGTCAAACTTTGATATATTCATTGCATAAAAACAAACATTTGCTACAAGAGGTAATGCACTGATGCATACTGAGCAAAAGCCACATGAACATCACAACACTGCTACAAATTCACATTATCATGTCATCAACTCCTGCTTCATGTCATAAAAATGGTCAGCTTTTAAATTATATATATAAAAAAAGACTTGAATAAATAAAACAAAGGCAAGAAAGGAATGTTGGGTAACAATAAAAATTCAGAGCTCTGTGACCGGGGATACACAGTCTGGATCTACACATGATCAGGGATAGTTACAAAATACACAGGGCCAGTGAAAAGTCAGAATCTACTGTACAGACAGTACACCCATGGATATAGTCTGGATCTACTGTACAGAACACCACACACATGGTCAGGGATACAGTCTGGATCTACTGTACAGTACACCATATACATGGCCAGGGATATAGTCTGGATATACTGTACAGTACACCACACACATGGCCAGGGATACAGTCTGGATCTACTGTACAGTGCACCATATACATGGCCAGGGATATAGTCTGGATCTACTGTACAGTACAGCATACACATGGCCAGGGATATAGTCTGGATCTACTGTACAGTACACCACACACATGGCCAGGGATACAGTCTGGATCTACTGTACAGTACACCATATACATGGCCAGGGATATAGTCTGGATCTACTGTACAGTACAGCATACACATGGCCAGGGATATAGTCTGGATCTACTGTACACACAGTACAAAATACAAGTAAAATATGGCACCAAACTGAATGAACTGAACCATTTGTAAAAGATTAATCAAAATCAACTGAGAATATGTGGATGAATGAATGTGAATGAGGATTATCACTGTAATCTTGTTATTATTGCTTTGTACTAATGTCTCTCCATCAACTCATACAGTGGACTCTCTCTCTCTCTAACAGAAACACACACACACACACACCCTCTCTCTCACACACACAATCATGTATACATTGCTCGACTACACCATAACAATTGAAGACATTGATTATAATCAAATACTTAATATATCAAAACCAATGGATTTTTTTTTCAATTTTCATATCACAATTAAAACCTGCATCTCTTTTTGATAGACTTCTGTCATGATCAATTGGCTACTTTGGTAATAAAACAATTCCTAAATTATCACACCAGCTATAAGAATATGTTAGGACAAGCTGACCAATCGCCTTTCTCTTTACAATTCCAGTATCGTCCATTGTACATATGTATGGGACTTCCTGTAATAGAGTCTTGTTTCATTTCAAACCACACTGCCTGGTATCCTTTAACTGGTTCTCCTGAAATAATCAATACACACAATATTTTATAAAGCGATATGCGATATATTGGACACTTTAACAAGTCTATCAAAAAAGTCTTGTTAATCATTTTATGCAAATATTTTATAAAAACTGAATGTTTTATAACCCATTTCTAAGTTCTTTTCTCACTGTCATTACAAAATACACTTCAAATTCCAACTTTTTAAAAACTGTAAAACCAACATGTTAAAATATAGCTGTCATGTATTTTGTAATATTTATTATGTGCTATCTCCTTCATGTTTATATCATTATTGATCAGTTTTAATTAAAAACAGTTAAATATAATCTTCGGCGATTGAAATTCCCAACGTTTTCACAGAATTATAAGAAAAACTGTCTGCCCGATACGTATTGGAAGTTATTTTTTCGATACGATACATTCTTGAATATCGATACGTATCGATATATCAATATATTGATACAACCCTAATTAACTTCCTTATCCACTAGCCATCCATCTACCCTGTCATTATTCTTATTACCCACTAACTATCCCTCAATTCCTATTCATCTTCCTTACCCACTAACTATCCCTCTACTTTTCTTCCTTTCCCACAAGCTATCCCTCTACCCCTTTTATCCTCCTTACCCCTTTTGGCTGCCTCCTCTGCCTCAGCTTCACGTTTTTTCCTGGCAGCCCTCTGTTTTTCTTCTAGCTGTAGTTTGAATTTATTGGCTTCGTCCCATTTTCCTTCCTCCATGGCCCGCTGATCTGGTCTCAGACGGGAGTCTGTCGGTGCCACGCCTTCCTCCGGTTCATTAAGTGTCACAGCCAGTGATGTGAAATTATACATCTTCTCTGCTCCTGGCCTGTAGGTAAATGTTAAAAGAAAAAAAGGAGAAATTATAATAAGTTTTTTTTTTAATTATTTCAAATGCAAAATTGTTTCTTTAAAATTGTATTCTTTGAAATTTTTGCCTCTGAATCATTTTTGTTCTTTTCACCCTCATTTGGCAAAATAAAAACTTTGTTTTCATAATATACTCTAAAGGAGAAGAGTATATCTATTAAAATGCAATTGCTAAACCAGAGGCCCATGGGCCACATCGCTCACCTGAGCACATTGGCAAGGCAAAAGCACAAATCAGTTCAGTATTGAAAAGATTACGGGGGGGGGGGGGGGGGGGGGGGGGGGCTTGAATTTTAAACTACCTGATGATGCTTCCATGTCAATATATAATTTGTTTTAACAAATGGCTTTGTTGTACTTGAGAAGATTTTTTTAAAAAATTCCCATATCTTCCTTTGTAAAAATTTGATCCCCCATTGTGGCTCCTCCCTATCCCAGGGGTCATCATTTGAACAAACTTGAATCTACACTACCTGAGGATGCTTCCATATCAATATGACTAAACATAGCTTTTCTGTTCTTGAGAAGAAATTTTTTTCTATATGTTCCTATGTAAAACTTTGATCCCCTAATTGAGCCCCACCCTACCCTCGGGGGTCATCATTTGAACAAAATTGAATTTACACTACCTGAGGATGCTTCCATATCAAAATGACTAAACATGATTTTCAGTTCTTGAGAAGAAGATATTTTCCTATATGTTCCTATGTAAAATTTTCGATCCCCCATTATGGCCCATCCCTATCCCCTGGGGTCATCATTTTAACAAACTTGAATCTACACTACCTGAGGATGCTTCCATATCAAAATGACTAATCATGGATTTGCAGTTCTTCATCAGAAGATATCTTCTTATATATTTCTAGTTCAGACTTTTATCCTCCATTGTGGCCCCACCCTACCCCAGGGGGTCTTGATTTGAACAAACTTGAATCTACACTACCTGAGGATACTTCCACATAAATATGATCAATCAGGGCTTTGCTGTTCCTGAGAAGAAGATTTTTAAAGATTTTTCCTATATATTTCTATGTAAAACTTTGATCCTCCATTGTGGCCCTGCCCTACCCCCGGGGGGTCAGGATTTGAACAAACTTGAATCTACACTACCTGAGGATGCTTCCATATAAATATGAACAATTAGGGCTTTGCTGTTATTGAGAAGAAGATTTTTAAAGATTTTTCCTATATATTTCTATGTAAAACTTTGATCCTCCATTGTGGCCCCGCCCTACCCCCAGGGGTCATGATTTGGACAAACTTGAATCTACACTACCTGAGGATGCTTCCATATAAATATGACTCATCATGGCTTTGCTGTTCTTGAGAAGAAGATTTTCAAAGGTTTTTCCTATATATTTCTATGTAAAAATTTGATCCTCCACTGTGGCCCCGCCCTACCCCTGGGGGTCATGATTTGAACAAACTTGAATCTACACTACCTGAGGATGCTTCCATATAAATATGACTCATCATGGCTTTGCTGTTCTTGAGAAGAAGATTTTCAAAGGTTTTTCCTATATATTTCTATGTAAAAATTTGATCCTCCACTGTGGCCCCGCCCTACCCCCGGGGGTCATGATTTGAACAAACTTGAATCTACACTACCTGAGGATGCTTCCACATGAGTTTCATCTTCCCTGGCTTTGTGGTTCTTGAGAAGAAGATTTTTAAAAGATGCTACTAATTTTTCACTAATTCTTCATCATCTCCTCTTGAAAGAGGGCGTGGCCCTTCATTTGAACAAACTTGAATCCCCTTCACCCAAGGATACTTTGTGGCAAGTTTGGTTGAAATTGGCCCAGTGGTTCTTGAGAAGAAGTCGAAAATGTGAAAATTTTACAGACGGACGGACGGACGGACGGACAGACAGACAGACAGACAGACAGACAGACAGACAGACAGACAGATGGACAGACGGACTACAGACAAAATGTGATCAGAAAAGCTCACTTGAGCCTTCGGCTCAGGTGAGCTAAAAATAATTCTAAGAAAAGTTTGCCTGCATATGTTAAATGAGACCAACAAAAATATAAATATTTTATAAAGACAATGAACTCACGGTAATGGCCTCTTCTCCCAGATACAGATGTGTGGGCCCGTCTCAAACACAGGCTTTCCTTTGTTGGACTCGTCAATGTGCACCACCTTGGCGGCCTCCATTCTTTTGTCCCAGGTTCCTGTTAGGACCCACTTAGCAGCACCCTCTTGATCGGTCACCACCCCCGTAACCTGTCATAATCAAGTATGTGTATATATTTGTCTTACATTTTGAAGTCTGACATACTTTTTACGTGATCATTTTTCAGAATTTATCTCAAAAGCTCTCTTTGGAACAAACTTTTTCGTATCTCAATCTAAAAATTTTATTGAAAACAGGACATTAAAAATTTACATGTATCTCTCACCTTTCTTGGAATTTCTCTGGAGAAGTAACTATAGGCAGAGTACTTGAGATGACATTTGTCTTGTGTTTTGTGATTGGTTATATCCATTTCACCATGGTTATCCACCCATAACTTGCCCACAATGATGTTGTGAACAGTTGTGGTAACTTTTCTCCAGGTGTAATGATTGCCTGACTTCTTAAATACAAGGTGGGCTATACCTACACAGAAATAACAGGAAATGATCAGTGTAACAAGCAGTGGCCAGGTCCTGGGCAAACCTGCTCGCTTTTCTAACTTATTTTTAGTCTGTCTCAAAACTATAAACCAATTTCAGGTGCTGCTTTCATGTCTAATTTATAGCAAACTAAAGTTACCTAGTACTATGTTTCAATTTGCGACAGTAAGCAATAAGGGTTATGAATTTTCAAAGATTTAATTATACAGAATGCATTTCCTATTTACAATCTCCTGCCTAATTTTAATTTATACCTTTTTATCCATGGAAGAAATACTCTTTGCTAAGAAAGATAACTCAATTTCTGACAATTTTTTTCTTCAAATTTTGACCTAGACCGTATAATACTAAAATTACTTGAATTTTACATTTTATTTTATCGCCACCTTTCTAAGGAAATTGCAATAACAGAAAAAATTCCAAATTAGTGATTAGAAGCTTGGCTTAGACTTTGAGATCTTTCTTATTGGAAATGTTTATTATAATTCCTTGATTTTTATGGTTAGTCACAAGAATTGTGTACAATCTATCTAAACATGCACCCAATTACAAACATGCCTGGTACATGTTTATCATTCCAAGTCAATAAACTATTCAAATGACAGAGTAAATCTTCAGTGAAATTGTGAAACAGAAAAACAACAACAAAAGCTTGAATAAGATATAAATTCCTTTGAATTTAATGTTATCCCTGACAACACAGTGCAACACGATAAAGCATTGACTAGTATATACATTAATGTGACCATGTGTCCAAAATAGTGATGTGGACTCAGTATACTGTTTGAACCATTAACCCCATACTTCATTAGAGGATGCAAGTGGGCTGATAAAGAAATCTTCGAATCGTTTATTCAAAGGTCAGGTCAAAGCAGTCAGAGGAGTTAACAATATTTTTGAGCTCTTGGATGTACTCTCATTATAAGTGGCTGAAGTACAGTTTGCAAAAGTAACTCTCAAAATGTCCTGTTTGTCAAAACAATCCTTGCTACCATAATAAGTTCTGACCTTTTACCAAAAAAATTCAATAGGCTTCTTCCTGTGTCCACTTCATTCCTGCAGCATGTATGAGACTGAGAAAACCAATGTCACTCTTAAAACAGGAAATACATGTCACTATCTTGACCTTGATCTTATGACTCTTTTGCAAAAGGTTTCAAGTACCCCTACAGCAAGTATAAGCCTGGACGTCAAAGGGTTAACTTTAAAACTGTGTCCACTATATTCATATGAATGCATTAACATACAAACTGACCAAACACCATATCTCCTCACAACTTTGTTGCAAGGGGGAGGAAGACAATGCATTTGTGCTTGTCTCACTCTGGAATATGGCTTGACCAATAACACAAATTTCTGAAGACATAGTGACTAGACAATTATAAGGAAGCAAGCAAGACAGATTAAGACTGTGTACGTGAGTAGGGATAAGAATGCATAACTTTACCAAAAGCCATTCCCTTAACACACAGATGGCTACTTAAAGAATTCAAACGTATTACCCTGGGGTGTTATTTGAAAGTAACTGCCCTTGAATTTACTAGCTATAGCCATCTCCTGGTAGAGTATCCATTCTCTTCCCTCTCTGTGAACAGCAGCCAAAGGAGGGTGATGGCCCACCTTAAAGTCAGGCAAAAAAATCAACCAAAGTCACCAAAAGAAAAAGACCCAGTGTACTATTCTGTATCAAGCAAGAAAGCATAGCAAAGTAAAGCTTTTAAGATTATATAAATAATCTATATTTTTTATGAAAGCATGTGAAATAATGAAAATGTAAAAATAATTCTACGGTACTCTGCTTTGCTCTCTTGTTTGTCTTCCAGGAGTGTTTCAGGTAAAAAGGAGAGTAGACAAGATGCTATTTCATATGGTTGTTTACCTTGCTGATAAAAAAGAAAATACATACTATTAAAGTGCTTTATCATTTGCCACAAAATCATTTTTATAATTACTCATTACTGAAATGGCATCTTATCTAGGAGTCTATACAGCAGGACCAGCACCTAGGATCTAGAGGTTACAAAGTCATCAACACTCTGTGAGTTTGCACTTTCTTACCAAGAGGAATAATTTGGAGATATTTTCCTCGAAATTTGCTCCCCATTGTGAATTCCTGCCACAATGACCATCCATTGCCCTCTGTATATTGGGAGGCTGTGGGCGGATGGTGGCTAACCTAGTATTACAAACAACCAATCAAATTCATTTTACCTTTCTTAGCCCAAAGCTGGGTCAGTGTCCAGTCAGGAGTGTCTCACAATTATTCATATTATATACATATATAATTACACTAGTTGGTAAAAATCTTCTTCCTTTTTTTTTTTTTTTTTTGCTAAACATCAGAAAAAAGATGATTTATTTGACACATACACTCATAATAAACTCATAATTTTCAAATCTCTATAATTACCAGTACAATGTACTTTTAAAACTACACTGTGTGATGGACTCTTCTTCTAGGCATACAAGAAACTTACAATAAACACTGAATAAGACAGTAATTCCTTTCACTTTCAGCCTGTAGGTCTTTTAAAATAAGTTAAATAAGATAACTTAAGAGAATAAAATTACTTGCAAGAAATCTAAATGACTGGACTAGTTGTGAACCTTTCCAGATCATTTCTAAAACAGTTTCTGTTACCTAAAAGTTTTTCTTCTTCAAAATTTTTTCACAGCATCAGATAAATTTTCTCAATTCTATCCTTAATTTTTTTTTATTTGGTTATTAAGCAACCTATCATAAAAATCTCCAATATATTTTATGCCTACTAAGATTCCTATTGTACCTGTTCTGCGAATGACTTCCAGCCCAGGTCATCTGTTCTGTCACATTCATATGTTTCTCCAAGAAGAGGATTGAATGGTTTTGTGGTACGATTGGTGGTAGTGGAGTAAGAAGAGATTGTAAAGGCTGCCACATGGACCAACTGTTCAGCCGAATCCTCACATGCTGCTGCACGATCTAGACAGTCCGAGTATTCAAAATCCTCAGTCAAACGCTGCAGCATGGACAATGGTTCGCTAAAATTTACCTGTTCACAAATAAAATATCTGTATAGTTTATGATCTTGTTTATCAATTAAATAGCTTTCCATCCCTTTTGATGACACAAGAAACCAATGTAAACATTTTATAACACAGCATTTAAAGAGGATGAATAGTACATGTATTTTCTTTCCTCTATAAGTAGCAAGAGAGATCAAAATTAACATTTTCAACCTGTCAGTGGGCTGCCAGGATGTCAAAGTTACAGACCAATTAATTAATGTTGTAATGTAACTTACAGGCATAGGGATAACTTACGGGCATAGGGATAATTTACAGGCATAGGGATACTTTACAGGCATAGGGATAAGTTACAGGCATAGGGATAACTTACAGGCATAGGGATAACTTACAGGCATAGGGATTTTGGAGAGATCTTTTCCTATACAGTTCTTCATTATACTCCAAAGATTGAGACTGTAGTTTGGCTTTGGTGGGATCGTTGTTCGTCTTACTCGAGCTCCTTTTCGGACTGTGGTGGGTTTAGCTACCACAAGCTGAGTGTCCCCATTCTTCTTCATATCTCCACTGGCATTTCTTTTGACACGAGATTTCACACTTGCTGTAGGCTGGAAAAGAATTTGAACCATCAGAAAATTTTAAAAATACAGTGCTTATCTAGATGAACTACCAGTATGTAATTTTACATGTAAAGATGAGATTAGTAATTTTCATGATACTGTGCTTCTTAGGTATGGAATTCTTTCTCTGAATATTGAGTTTACAGTATAATACATTCATACTTAAATTTTAGGGGAAAGGGCAAATTCAGAGTTAAATTCTATATCTGAGTGCTACATATATAATACATCACTTTTGATGTGCTTTAACTGTAATGACATGAGGCTCTGTTTAGGTGCTCTATAAAAGCTTTTATGGCAGACCTGTTTGGAGGCCCCCTGTTTAGACTTGTGGGAGTAGACTCTGGCTTCCTGTCCCTCGGATTCTTCAGCTTCACTGCTGAGGTCACTGCTTCTTTCATCAGCCTGGCTGTCAAAACTTAAGCTACTGTCTGTCCTTCTATAAAAAATCCATGCTTTACAATAATAAGATATAGAATCAAACTTAAACTACTGCCTGTCCTTCTGTAAAAAATCCATGCTTTACAATAATAAGATATAAAATCAAATTTTAGGTGGTTAACTGTGAGACAGTAAACTATCGGACAAGTGGATTATATCTTATCTCAGTCCAAATTCAACAATAGCCAATGGTAACTAATGAAAATATATGAGAATATGCTTGCATATTTATAATTATATATCTATCAATGATCATCAAACTGATTGCTGAGGTCATGCACATGCCACAATTTTAATCAATGCACCTTATATTGGCATATATATATATATATATATATATATATATATATATATATATATATATATATATATATATATATATATATATATATATATATATATATATTTGTGCTTTAGTTTTGCAACATTTATACATGTATATGTTCTGATTGAAAACTATAGCAGACCTGTGTTTTGTTTGAGTGTGAGGGAGAGCAACTTCAAATTCCTCAGCCTGGTAATCCAAAGCATCATAGAAGTCCTCCTCATCTGACCCCCCAGGCCCTACAAAAGAAAAAAGGATACTCATAGGAAATTAACACAATCATACTAACATTATTAAATTTTTTAAATATACTTTTTGCTGATTAGCATAACTATAAATCTAAAGTTGAAACTGATAGATACAGTTATTATCAAAAATTACTCCTACAGAGAAATTGTAATATATGTATTAGAAGCACTCTGCAAAATACCAAACCCTCGTGGTAACTAATTTTATTTCACTCTCCCCTTAAGATCAGCCACAAAAAATGAAATCCAATAAACTGTAGATACAGTATTAAAGTACTCTACAGAAAGATTGGTCAATAATTACAACATACTATTAATTATTCAGTACCTCATAACCCTATACATGTATGTAATATTGTGTCTATACTTCTGTTAAAGGCTTGTTCAGTGTTTTCTAGCCTAATTTACCTTTCTTGATTGGGGCCTGTCCCATGGATTGTTTGGCTTTGGCTTCCAAGGTAACCTGTTCTTTGGCAAGGTGCTCCACCATCTCCTCTAACTTCATCCTTTGTTCGTGTTCATAATTGACAATCTTCTGTAGTCTCTTCACCTGATTCTGGGCTACATCAAGGTACTCCCCACAAGCCTAAATATAGCACAGATTATCTATATCACACGATCCTCCTTAGATACAACAAGTGACTTCTATTTCTACACTCCATAACTTAGAACTTCCATAACCATAACACACATTTCTAGATCAGTCTGTCATTTTCATAGAATTACCTGGACAATCCACAGATGGGGTGAGATGTACTTATAAAATTCTATTTTTGGACGTAAATATATAAGTCTCCAGTCAGTGAAATACAGCTTAATTGACAGTACTTTTTATATCCTCTGTCTACATGAACAAGGTCATACTCCTTCATGATAACACGATAAAGTTTCCTGATAAGAGTGGCAATGACATTACCTAACTTCTATTATTTATACTGAAGTTTGAATCTGTAAATGACATCCATACAGTATAAAAAAGGGCTATAATTAATCTAGTTAATGTAACATGAATGTTTAATCTCACAATATTAATATTTATCAATATCAAGTTAATCATGTTTATGTAGATTTTCTCAAATACAAAATGAGACACTGACTTTAGTCATTACATCACTTAACATTCTAAAATCAAATCTTGCTCTAACATGATTATAATTGATTGCAGAAGGTAAATTTAAATTAGTAAACTTAAATATTTACATTTGCTGTGTTTTTCTACTAAGCCAACTGTGAAATTGATTTGAATGCCATTTTCGTGTATACTCACGCGTAGAAATATGCAGAGAAACTCGCGCTAAAGTGACATCACAATGAGGCTAGAGACATTTATAATAAAAATGTAACGATATAGGGCAGCGAATAATTCAGTCATTGAGTATATTTTTGGTGCTTTTAAACCTGTTTTAAAAATGTTAATATAAGGAATGTTTTTAAGTTTAGTGTGCTTCATGAAATATGCCTACATGACAAGTCTGTGTGATTTACACACCAATAACTCACACCAAACTTAAAAACATTCCTTAAATGTTGATGGAATATTTACTAAAATACTGAGTACAATTTTTTTTGCCCAAACCTAAGTATTTATATAGAAAACTAGAAATATGACTCATTTTAAAAACCTGATTCTTTTTGCTCTTCATTGAATTTAACATTCTGATCAGCATTAAGCAATGTCCTCACCTATTGGCCAACCTTTTCAAAGCTGATTGGTTGAGGAGCAGAGTCAAATCAAAGAAGAAACACAATAAACATTTTACAAATAGATTTTTAATTTGTTCTATTTATTCAAAAAGAAACTTTATATCTATAGTCTCTGACATTACAAACTAAAAGTACCTCTTTTTTGCTTTAGGCATTTAGTGTAAATTAAATCTTGTCAATAATTGGTGCTGTACAGAGTTGGAAATCTACCATATATTTAGATTTCTTGGTTAATGGCTATAATAAGATGATGTGGAGATAATGTAGTGCAATTATTAGCTCCACTACTGCAACTTGATTGGAAGGTGGTTTGTTAAATCCCTGCGTAATATCTAGATACCACTTAAATGTATATCAATTGTTTGTTTTCAATAAATCTATAAGAAAACTATAAGATGCTATAAAATACATTATTTCTAGAATGTAACATGATACATTTCAAAGGGCGATATAATACATTTTGGAGTGTGATATGATACATTTTGGAGTGCTGTCTGAAACATTTTGAAGTGTGATATGATACATTTTGGTATGTAATATGATACATTCTAAAGTGCTATATGACACATTTTTGAGTGCTATATGATCATGATGATAGTATGATACATTTTAGAGTGTTATATGATACATTTTGGAGTGTGATACGGCACATTTTGGAGTACACATATGTCATGCCTTATTTGCTTCATTGGGATATTTTTGGTGCTCTATAAACATTGTTTTATCTAAAGCCTACCCAGCAGCAAAACATAAATTTTGGATTACATCAACAACTGTTTAACTTAACAGTATCTGTAACTAGAAAAAATATGACTCACATGCCAATGACCAGCATAGTTTGATGTCCATCTAGTGTTTAATATAATAGCATTTCTGATACACCTGTAACTCTTTTTTTTAATTAATTTTTCTTCACTGATCAAAAGCAGCATCAACTGAAATGAATTTGTAGTGCCAGTCTGACAATTTTGCATTCAATTGTAAATTTTTGACGTACATCCACTACATCGACAGACAGCTGTGCTGACAAATTGAACATGCATGTTATTCAATTCTTATAATATTTACCATACATTTAACAATTTTACAGTAAATTGAAAAAGTAACACTTGAATAAATTATGCCTGTTTAAAGAATACACACCACATTTGTATAGCTAAATTGATGGAGCAACTGTTGCTATTCAATGTGAATGTGATTTTTTTTTTTTCTTTCTTTTTTGCTTGTGGTGTTGCACATGTACCGCTTTCAAACAGCTAAAGCCACGAACCATCATATTTGGCCCTGTCTTTTTCACAAAAATAAAGTTTCGGTTCAAGAAGAGTACTATACGTTAAATATTAGAGGACAACATTCTTCTTTTCCATACATAACTTATATCGTTATATAATGCGCCATTAAACACGTGCGACGGTTGGAAAATGCGACGGTTTCATAAAAACGTTAAAAAATGCCGTTTTTTCGACAGATTTTCCCAAAGTTAGATGTGGCCACAGTCAAGAACAACTTTTATACTTCCCATAGATATAGATATTACCGATACAAATCTTTATGTTTAATATCGTTGTTGTTCGTGGTTGTGGCCAATATGAAATTTGATTTTATATTTAAATTTTGATGGATCAAATAATCCTTAATTTGTAGATCAATCGCTTACATTCAATTCATGTAATAATAAAAAAAATATAAATTTCACAAAATATGCTAGAAAATCAGTAAATTGTTCATTTAAAATGCTAAATGTGAAAAATAGTCAACTACATACATTTTCTGAAATAAATGTCTGGAAAAACTTTGTGGTTTTTACTATGACTAGGTCATTATGTATGACGTTACTAGTAATACGTCAGTTGTGACGTCATAAAGGCTGTAAATTATTTGGGATGTTGCTGAAAAGCTTTTAACGCTCTAGATAGTGCCCCTACATGTATTTACATGTATATGATTTAATTACATGTAAACCAAACTGGATGATACCATCAAATTACAAGTTATCAGAAATTCCCGCCACGGTGTCTTTCTTTACTACCCCTCCCCCCTTCCCTCCCTGAAATAATTCAAAATACTGTTGTTAGTAGTGTTATCAGGCATGACTTAAATTGTAAACAAATTAATAGAGAGTGTAGCAAAGATATCACGCTATACCTTTTTAAAACAAGCGAAATAATAATGATATGGGTTGCTGTCCAAAGTGAAAATTAAAAAAAAAAAAATAAAAAAAAGGAATGAAAAAAATACGCATTAAGATAATCATCTTATTTCCGCACCGAAATCCACCTTTTTTATGTACATGCAGAAGAATCATCTTAGTTGATTAACAAAATTCAGTTATATCGATGGCTTATACATGCTGATACAAAATAATGTATAGTTATAGTATACAGTTATGTAAGCACCAATATCGGGTTTCGTCAAAACACTTGCACTTGACGATCCCGCGCCCGTGAACAAAAACAAAAGAATATATCAGTATATTTTTAATATGTCTGTATTTATTAAAATCGAAGTGAGGCTATTGATGCATATGTACATAAAACATAAACCCGATCTTGTCATCCTTTGTGAAACATAATTCAAATATACCCCCAGTGAGTAAAATTGCATTAAATGCATGTCGTATATTTTAGACATCAGTATAAAATGTTTATGCATTTTTTGTACTGTGCTCCAAATATATCATTGTAACTAACACAATTTAATTATTAGTATAGTTATGCTTCAGATCGTCAGTCAGTGAAAGGGTAGTGATTATAGGTCTATTTAGACAAAACATAAATTAAATAGATAAGTACACTACATATAATTTACCCAAAGTTTTTATCCGTCATCATCTCTTCATTGCAACTTTATTAGTATACGGTTTTATCTAAGAATTCAGCGATGTGAAAACACATGGAGAGAGAGAGAGAGAGAGAGAGATCTTAGAATGTGTTTTAAAAAACAAATCAATAAACCGGGAATATGTTCTTTAAAACGTATGGTCGTAAGTTGTTTATAGCTAGATTTTTTTAAACCCAACGAAGTAGATTTTTTTTTTTTGGATAATAATTTTTGCTCTTTTTTTTTAAATCTATTGTCAGCTTATTCTGGTTAGTACACTTGTACCTCCTCCCTCAGTATAAACTATTAGTATCATGATATGTAGAATGGTAGATCCAAGACTTCCAGTTGAGATTGAAAAAAAAGAGGGGGGGTTACAAACTAATGGCAACAAAATTGTTAAAGACTTTCCTACTCCTCTTATTTTTTCCTCAATGAGAAGGGGGGTGGGGACTGGTTTGGCAGCGCCTCTTTTCACGAAAAAAAAAAATCATAAAGAAAATTGAAAAAAAAATATGTACGGACAACTCTTATTGCTTCTCCGAGTAAAATATTTTTAAGCAAGCTTTTGTTGATTAAAATCAATCTTGTGCTGATTGTGAGACAATAAAACAAGGATAAATGAACATCTGTACATGTATTTCAATTATGATAGTGACCTACATATCAGCAATATCAATGCAGCTCTACTCTTTTTATAAACCATAAAAACCATAATGTGCAAATGAAATCGAAAGTGTGGATTTTACACAATGGTTACGTGTGATAATAACGAAAAATTCCTCATGCTTAATCTTTTGATACATTTACATGGAAAATAATCATAGAATTTTCGCAGACTCTACCTTTACAAAATCCCTGCAGATATTAAGGTATTTGGAGAAAAAAATTCGTATATTTTACAAAAAATGGGGGTTGGGGGTTCCAGCAAATACTGTTAAATATATAATAATGGACAGTGACGAGTGATTTTTTAACAAATTTATTTTTCTTAAGAATATTTTTTGAAGTGTATTCTACTGTTTTCCATATTGCTCCAAAGAAACTTACATTAAGGGCTAGAATGTTTTGATGAGTTCTGTTTACTAATTAAACCATTCTGATAAATTGCGAAATCCCTTTCCAATTAATCTAAAATTTTCCCTGTTTCTGTATCGAAAACAAGGTTCAAATTATTGTTACAAATGAATAAATGGATTAGAAACAAGTCCTTCCAACTTTTTCCTTCTTCCTCTTGTCCAAATAATTTAGATCTTTTATACGTTAAAATACTCGCAATATCAGGATCTAAGAATTTTGCATTGAAAGTCTCTTTTAATTTAAACAAAACTTTTTGCAATTATACTTTTACCTACAATGTAGTTATAGAATTAGCTCTTCAGTTCCGAAACATTCGTTTCAAGATCATTTCAGGTATGTTGTCAATTATTTTTTTCCCGACTGCCCCCTTCCCAACTTTGAAAAACGATACTACGTGCCTGGACGCACATGCCAAAGATCAGCTTAATATCTGCTGGCCTGTAGGGAAAAATCCGGAACACTTAGTTGGTCAGACTATCGGCATTTGAAGCATGTTGTATATTGTTTATGATGATCTATACACAATACTTCACTAGGAGCGAAGCATCGCTCAAAAATGTGTTGAAGGGATATAAATAGAATGTTCCTTTTTTAAATATTATCATAGGGACCAGGTAGAATGAAAATATTCCAAGACAGTCACACAGATTATTATACTCCCGCTTGAAAAGTTGGGGTATATAGTGATGGGGGTGTCCTTTCGTCCGTCTGTGCCTCCGTCCATTACGTTTTGGGGTACACATCTCTTATCCGCAACTCCTCCTATACCACTCAATAAAATTTAATGATACTTTCGCAGAATCTTTGTTAGATAGTGCCATTTTGCACCTCCTATTTCACTTAATGATCGGACATATATTTCAGGTTTCCAATAGCAAAACATAGACACTGCCATTCTTTAAATAATATTTAGGGTACCCATCTCTTATCCGCAACTCCTCTTATACGCCTGAATAAATTAAAGATTTAATGATACTTTCACAGAATCTTTTTACATTGTGCCATTGTGCACCTCCTATTTCACTTTTGATCAGACACATATTTCGGGTCTCCCATAGCAAAACATGGACTTTGCCATTATAAATATATGATAGGCGGGGTATCATTTTGTGAGCTCAGTGCTCACAGTACCTCTAGTTTTTACTTCATGTATCTATATAATTCAATCAGTTAAACATGAGGTTACCATAAAGACGGCAAGTAAAATCAAGTTCCAAATGCTTTTAATCGTCTTAAAGTAATTATGATGTTTATTATATTATTAATACTAGTTTTAATTCAAAGTCACATATTCATACATGCAAAATCGATCAAGGAAATTTTTCCGCCCTACGACGTTACGTTACAGAAAATGATGTTTTACTAGCATTTTTCTTTTAAAACACCACCACACTTCAAACTCTCTTTTTCAAAAAATATAATCTATATCGAAAAAAGAAAAACGGCAAAGCAAAGCTAAAGGTCTGCACTATCAATTGACAAAAACCCGTTAATTTTTGACTCAGGGCCATTTTTGATGGTTCGTGGCTCTTGCTCTTTTATGACATCAAAATAAATTATTTTAACCTTTTGACCTCTCTGTGTTATGATATTATGAATGTCCCAGATTCAACATACTTTATAAGGAAAATACTATAAATATAACATGTTGCAATTAAATTATAAAAGACATAAAGATGTCATTTTCTGGTTTTGACATACTATTCAATACCAAAAGGAGGCTAGGGTATGTAGAGGCTAAGGTTAAAGATGTGGGATGTTTTCAAAAACATAACTGAATTTAGTCTTAAAAATATTTTGTACTTCTAGGAAAAAGTATTAAAGCAATGTTGTAAGGACAAAACATGTAAGTGACTGCTTTATACATGTTCCAAATCTATTTTCCTTGTAACTATCTTCTAAACTTTTGATTGTATCAACATATGATGCTAAAAATAGATTAAGGAAGGTGTTATGAAAATAAGTCAACAATATTTTACTGCATTTTATAAGCAGAAAGTAAATGCTAACATTCCTCAAGATTCATCAAGATACATGTACGGTAGGGTGCTAGCTCATACTTATATAATAAAAGGTAGTAAACTCACATTGATCATAGCATTGGTGGTGATCCTAAACATGGTTGCTCTTTCATTTATGACTTTCAGTTTTCCACCAGCTTCACTAGGGTTATCCATTGACTCCAGCTCTGTTAATGCTCTTTGAAGACCACTGCCGTGCTTGGCAATTAGATCATTGCATGTATTCATGTCCTCTAGTTTAGATGTCAATGTTTTTACCATATTCTGTAACTCATTCTTATCGGGCTCTGGTTCTACTTCTTCATCACTGTCTGCTAAAATAAACAACCAGAGATAAAAACAAAGGTTTCCCTGTCATAAGTCAACCATAATCAAGGAAGAGTCATCCTAGTATGCATCCCTAGACATAATATATTCAAATAAGGTTTATTATCTGAATCTGCTCTAAAAGGAAAAATCATTATTTAATAATTTTTAATACAGTTGAACTTCGGTATCTCAACACTGATATCTCGAACACCATGGATATGTTGAACTGATTTGGAAGTCCCAAACACTTAGCCTCTAAGAATTTTACCCTCGATATCTTGAATCTTCGGATATCTCGAAGTTTTTTCTCGGTCCCATCGAGTTCGAGGTAACAAGGTTTGACTGTATTTTATACATACAATCAGAATATACTGATTATAGGTAGTATCAGAGTAGACTCATAATATTCTTTGGATGCATTATTCCTAGCAGTTTGGTCCAAGCCAGGATTATAGTTTCTTAGGATAGACAGATGTCTGCACTTTCAGGTGTATCATTCATGCAAGTTGGCCCAAGTAGGGTTTACCATGTTTTCAGATGCATTTACTTGGAAAAGGATCTGTTTTGAAAAATTTAAAACCTGCAAATGCAGCAATAGTAGTATACATCCTTTGATGCATCATCCATAAAAATATCAATTCCAAACATTTACTTTAAAAGACCTGCTCCAGAAAATTAGCCAATGTCTATGCTTTTGGTATAGCATAAATTCTCCTCCACTTGCTCCAGATGAGCAGGCAGAGCTATTAATCTGCATTAGTATTAATATATCTCAATTAAAATATATGCAAGTACTTAAACATGATCAAAGAAGTCATTCATCAAAATGGTTTCATGCATGCATTATGAGCACAATGCTTCTCATATACAGGTAAACTTCGTTATCTCGACATCGACGGGACCATCGGAAAATGTCGAGATATCCGAGGTGTCGAGATATCAGAGTTGAGACTTGACATCCAAGATTTCACTGCATAGCAAAACAGACAAGCTTATTATATGTGCATGACCTCAATATAGACTGTAGCTCAACATATTTCAGAATTCCCTCTATAGTTATTAAAAATCTAAGAAGTTATTTTCAAAATCTTGTTTATAAAACGTGTTCTTAATCGAAATCTTTCTAAATTCACAAAGTTACATCATTCGCGTGTAACTTGCCTTTTTGTCAGAGCAGGATACGAAATGCGCTCTATAAACTTCGAACCGTATAAAGTCGACATCCGCTATACGGAAAAAATTAAATGCGGATTATTTTTTTCTCTTATTTCATTCAGGAAGAATGTATATTAAATTATTTTTTAAGAGATATGTGTATCTAAACTAACGTAGTGATGTTACAGATGCATGAATTACGACTGATTCGGTCAATCTTGTCGTTATTGGATTGTGTCCTGTTGAATACATTTTAACTACAAAAAATCATTAAAACATCTTTTAATTCCTTAGTTTGAATTATTCAGTGTGTTTGTTATTCATTGTAATTTAGTTACCTTTTTCAAATTTAAAAGTTATGGTAGGTTTCGATATAAATAACCGTCTGTACATTTACGCAGAATCACGTAGATTTAGCAATGATATAACCCAAGCTGAACATTAAGCAATTAACTTCTCAAAGACGCCGACGGGGCTTGGGATTCACCTACAAACACAATCTATAGAATTAATTAAGCACCGTGCAGTCAAAACATGGGTGTGAAAGGTGTGAAATTTTGACGTCGAGATACCCGGAGTCGTCCGTGCGTGACAAGCGACCCTATCTGACAAACAGGTAGGTTCAGTAGAGCAAAAAATTGCCGATGTCGACATATACCGGGTAAATTTTGCTCTTGGGACTTTGAATATACGTCGAGATAACCCGGGTTGTCGACATTACCGAGGTCGACATATCAGAGTTTTCGCAAATCATTTATATAGTAAATACTGCCGGGACCGCGGAAGGACGTCGACATATCCCAGGTTGTCGACATATCCGATGTCGAGATACCGAAGTTTACCTGTATTTACAAACTTGTATGTAGTATTTAATAATATTCTTAGAATAATGATGTTAAATTACCAGGTTCATTAAGCTTGATAGCATCAGCTTTGGCAAGTTCTAAGGCTGTCACCCATTTCTGACGCTCTACTTCTGAAGTTGCCTTGAGGTAAAATGTGTGGGTGCCACTGTTGGAGATGACTATTGTATTGGAGTCTTCTGTGTGGATGTATGCATTTGCGAGATTAATTGTACCCCTGCAAGTATGAGCCATTTCTGCCTGATTTCTGAAATAAAATAAAAATAGGCCATAATCAGATTAGTAATTATAGGCTCCTGTGAGGAAATCAGATAGACCCCCCCCCCCCTCCCCACACACACTTACTATGCTATTTTTAAAATCATTAAAGTATACGCACAGTTTGCAAGACAATGCAAGTAAAACTAATAGTAAATTGTGTTATTAACTGGCAATGGTATGATTAAAACCAAGGTGAATGAACAACATGTACGAGCTATAATCAGTAACACTGCAGCAAATTTTTCTTGGAGATAAACTAAGATTACAGATGTAAACTATGTCTATATATAATGAGATGATTAAAGATATTAGCTTAAGCACAGCTCTGGGGGTGGGGCAACATTTAAGAAACCTAAAAACTAGCATAGTTGTGCGAGGAGGTTAGACAAAAATTTACAAAACTTTAGATATGAATTGCCGCACAAATTGTACTTCTTTATTATCTAATATGAATGGATCACAGTTTCTATTTAAAGGAGCAAAACTGATTTGCATCCTGACCTGTAATAGGAAAGAAGTCCATTTTGCAGAACAAACCAACGCTTCTGGTAACCTCTCAAATAGTTTGTCCACTTGTACAACCAGCCACGATAGTTGGACTGGTGTACAGACCGATTATCAGACATCCTCCTGATGCCAACAACTATACTTCTTTAATTATTGAAAAAATTATATGTTTTCCTTGATATTTCTCATAAGATGGCTGTTCGTACACGTCACACACTCCTGTAATGATGCTAAATCCGACTTCCGTTTTTAATTATACTATTTATTTTACTTCTAATTTAAGAAAGATCATGCCGAGTTTGTCGGTTCTTGTACAAGAAATACAATTCTTTTTAATGTTTGTTTTATACTTGTGTTAAGCATCGCTTTCATTTCGAACTATTTTATCAACGATTCCTCCGCGATGTAAACCTAGAGGCAAGGGTTAGTCTAGAAAGTCAGCAGAGAATTCGTCATTTCGTGATCATATTGACCTTTACACCCAACAGAAGCAGTAAGACATGAGACATTATCTTTATATATATCTTAAAAATCCCACAGATTACTGTTCTGTTTTGTAAATAACTTTTTTTTTATTATGTTATTTGAGGGCTGCACTAATCACCCAAAATGATCATTGACCTGCACTAATGTAACACCAGAAGAGTTTGATATTTTATATTATTATACCTCTACTGATTTTTTCCCTATATAACATTACATCATTATCGTTAGATGTGACTAATTCCCTAGAAATCGTTATGTATGGACTAATCCCTGTGCGGTAGTCATGTTAGAATGATCTAACTGTGTCTCGGGACAGGCCCTCACTACAGTTAGAATGCCTCCCATATACCTGTAATGTAGCAGAAAATTGCAGAATCGCTCCGAAACGATTTTGGAGAAAATTTATGAAGTTGCATTGAAAATAACAGTCAAATTAATCATAACAAACCCTTTTGAGACTGTAAATATAACCTTTCATCTAAAAATTTAATCCATATAATGGAAGAATTCAACACTTTTTCACCAACGTTTTTTACTGAAATTTACTCGTTTCAAATTTACACACCATGTTGACATTCGGAACTCTCGGGATTTTTCATAGTAAATGCATTGAGTTAGAGTTATCTCCCGTATTTTCTTTGCTACAGAGACAATACACGGAACGCATTCTATCGTTAAACCGGGTCCGTGGGACATTTATCATTTTAACGATAGAACATTCTATCTATAGTCATGTGAGCTAATCCCTGTATCAAAAGCTAATTCCCTGTTATCCATAATCCTCTAGATTTTACTTTTACATTGGTATGATATGTGAATGGACTAATCCCCGTGTGTTGGTTCTGTGAGCTAATCCCTGCAATGAAATCACACTATCTGAATCCTCTAAATTTTACGTTTGTATTGGTATAATAAAACAGTTAAAAGTACATCATTGAGGCATCGTCGCAAGCCATGGGTTTTGTGTCCATTCTATTTCCACAAACCCGTGGCTGTCTCCTACAAATTTCTCTCATTCTCATGAATATTAATAACATACATTCAACCAATGGAATAACATCTGACGCCTCGAGTCAGAACCAATGAAAATGATCAGTCTATCTTGTATTTGGATGTAACCATAACCACGAGCTGTACATCAACTTCGGTTCGAATTTCCTTTCTTAACGAGTAACGCTAGTCAGTGTTCTCACACGTCTACATTCGAAACCCTGTATTTTAATGTAAAACCTTGTAAGTATTTTAGAATATACGTTACTCACCTCTGTTCTTCAGGATCTATCATATTTTTTTCAATAAATCTGCCACGCATAGCAAACATGATTTCATTATGGGCGCCGCCATTTAAGCGTACCAAAAATTGCTACAGAGTGATTTCATTGGTCAAGGTAAATCTGGCGTCACTTAATAAATATTCAATGATTCAGTCGCGAGAACGAGAGAATTTGGTAGGAGGCAGCCACGGGTTTGTGGAAATAGAATGGATACAAAACCCGTGGCTTGCGACGATGATCGTTGCGGGAGTTAGCAAGACTTTAGCCAGGTCCCCTGGCTCACCCTTGCCAAGGCAGGAGAGCCAGGTGGATTACAATCTATGCTGTCCCCTGATTAGTCAGAACAATCGCGCTAAATCATTGGATTTTGAGCCCTTGCCATTAACCACGGAAATAAATATAAACGTCACAATGATACATTACATCGACAGCGTAGAAAAATACGACGTCACAATGAACTTCTACACTGGAAGCGCAGCTAAATACGACGTCACAATGGGCTCAGATTCAGGGCAGATTCGCCTTGAATCCATTGTAGTCCACCTGGCCCTAGTGACATGGAGTACACAAAGCAAAACAGGGACAGGGAACCAGGCTAGCAAGATTCCAGTTCCCCTCGACCAGGACTATTTCCCTCGGCTTCGCCTCGAGAAATAGTCCTGGCTTTGGGGAACTGGAATCTTGCTAACTCCCGCAACGATATACTTAAATTGTATACTAATAATTTGATACCATAATATCTATTTTCTTGATGAAAAAAAAAAACAATACTCTATGGCATCCTGCAGGTGACAGTTATGAAATGAGATTTGTTCTTCTGATCAGCAGGTCCTGGCTCCTAGGCCACAAAACTTAAGACGAACTCATTTTTGATCTCAGTCTCACTTTTACATAAGGAGTTAATAGTGGTAAAGTGAGATTGAGATCAAAAGTACATGTAGGTCTTCTCAGTTTTAAGCATAAGCTTTTGATTTAGCTTATATATATAGGTTGAATGAGCTTTTATACCTTAATTTAATTTAATTCAGAACATCTTGATAAAGCTATTTATATGAAGTATTTCACAGTTTTTTTGTTTTTTTTTTTCGGTAAGAAAGAGACAAATAATTGCAAGGATATGACCAAGAGTGCTGAAAAATAACACATTTAAGAAAAAAGTTGGAAAAATAGCTAAATCAAGGTATTCTGGAAAGCATAATAAAGGTATTTAGCTAATAAGAACTATATAGCTTAATCAGTTAATCGAGAGATTGTCCTAGACTTGTTAAATTATTTCCTTTATTAAGTTTTGGTAAATTAACTATTTTATGTATAGCAAATCTATATCCTGGCTTATGAAATTGCTATCCACCCCTGTTTGAACATACACATCAGTATTATATATATATAAGAAAAGAAGATTACTCACTGTCAATTCTCTGTTCCCCTTAGGAAAGACTTTATAATAGTTCCTGTCAAGGGTTGATGAAAGACTTCACTCAAAACCAGTGGATAAGTGAAAAATTCCAAGTCTTTCACTAAATTAAACATATAACTAAATTTGTAAATTATTATAATATTTTTAGATCAATTTTTTACTCTTCACAGGTTATTGCAAAAAATATGGATTGAAGGATGCATTAATGAAGTCTGTCATTTGATTATTAACCATGACAACTGTGACCAGCGATCAGTTTCTTCAGTACACACTCCTCAGTAAAAATGTCCTGTCATTGGACGAACAAGAATTATATGAGCTGTCACAGTTGGCTGGAGTCGTGTTTGATCCCAGCGTCTTCAAGTAAGTATTTTTTTTTTCCACTGTTCCTATCTTTTCCACAGCCTTGGGGTAAAAATGTGTTGTGACTAAAAATTGAGATACTGACCTAGTTTGCTGGGCCCCAGAGGAGGGTATAACATATTTGGAATGGATCATAAGTGGAAGTTTTATTCTATCAATTATTAAAATTAAAAAAGCTCTAACTTTATTCTGTTTGTTTTAAAAATCCTCAGTCATGCGACAGGCATGGGGGGGGGGGGTTTCATGATTTTTTTTCCCCAAATTTCCATAACCCTTCAAACTTTAGCACATACACAATCTAGGCTTCATAAAAAAGAAAAAAATCCAATAGAATGTGACAAAGAAAAGGAAGAAAGGTGAAAAAAATTTACACCCTTGAAGCACTGCCAAAATAAAAAAAATCTCATGTGCATTTCTTGGTGGGATGACCCACTATGCATTGATGTTTGGACACTGTGTGACTGATCCTGATGCTTACTAAGCACATGAAAAATATTTTTTTCTTGATGCATTATTTAGTATTTATAGATGCTTTGGTGTATAAAAGCAAATTGCACATAGAAGTAGAATGTACCAGTAGTAGCAATTTTCTCAAATACTGCCCTCTGTAATGATTGTTGTAAACTTTTCACATTTTCATTTTCTTCTCCATAACCACTGAGCCAATTTTACCAAAGCTTTCCACATAGCAGCCTTAGGTGAAGGGGATTCAAGTTTGTTCAAATGAAGGGTCATGCCCTCTTTCAAGGGGAGATAATTAAGAATTAGTGAAATGACATGGCATGTTTCAAAACTCTGATGAAAAATAACTGGACCAGAAAGAATGAATATTATTTAAAGCTTCATTACATAGTACAGATTCAGATTTGTTCAGATCATGACCCCCAGGGTTAGGGTGGGGCCACAACAGGGGATCAAAGTTCTACACAGGAATATATAGGAAATATCTTTAAGAATCTCAAGAATAGCAAAGCCATCATTAGTAATATACAGAAGCATCTTCAGGTAGTTTTGATTCAATTTTGTTCAAATCATGACCCCCACAGGGGTAGGATGGAGCCACATTAGGCAATCAAAGTTTTTCATGGGAATATGTAGGAAAAATCTTTTAACATCTTCTCAAGAATAGCAAAGCCAGGATAAGTCATATTAATATGGTAGCAAGTTTGTTCAAATCATCACCCCGTGGGGTGGAGTGATACCACTTATATTTTTAAACTTTTCTTTACTAAATTCATTTCTGCCTTTTCTAGTAAAAAGTGCTTAGGAGAGCAATGTGGCCCATAGGCCCCCTTTTATATCCTACTCAATGCAAATAATATGCATGAAGCATATTTTTTGAATTCATTTTTCTAGAATCATCATGGATTTGCTGAAGATGAATGTTGCTCCACAGGCCATCTTGCAGGTTCTTAGGAGTATATCTGGACAGAGGCCAAAAGTGATTAGTTCCCCTGAGACTTCTCAACGTTCTCACCAAAGTGAGGCTGATCGTAGAGTGAAAAGCCGCAGTCGTGTTCCGAGTGCTAGAAAGCCAGAGGCTAGAAGATAAAGCATTGCTGCTCTCTCATAACAAGCTTATTAGGAGTTCAGACTTACATATATAAGAAAGACCATTTTATAACTATGGTCATAATCATTATTGAAACTATGTAGATTGATGCAGACTATTGTACATTGCTTGAAAGCCATGAATAGTTTAAGTGTTTCTTCTTCTTTTCATATATAAAAATTTTAAAAGAGTACGAGTAAAAATCCCTACCAGGTATACAAACTTGTATGAGGATATATTGAAGGGAGGGGAGCTTGTTATTGAAGTTGTGTGTGTTGAAACAAGCATATGAGTAGATTTTTTAAAAACCTTTTTATACATTGAATTTGTAATAAAGTGATATGAAATTCAGAGGTGGATTTTAGAATTAAATTATTTGGTAATTTGGGACCACTTGTATATTTAAACTTTTAAATACTGAACTGATTTCTGCTTTTTCCTGACCAAAGTGATCAGGTGAACAAAATGGCCCATGGGCCTCTTGGTTGAGTTTATGTAATGCGCAAAAACTGCATTTTTTCCAGAGAAAAATATAAATTAGCCGACCTTCGTTTTCGTGAATAAAATTTAATAAACACCCTGTTTCCAAATAACATACAATGGCCAATATTCAACATTTTTTATCAATAGCTCCTTTTCCACGCCAATGGTTTCATGAGGTATCAACTTGTGAGCGCTAAGATGTTCTGCTAGTTTCTTTTTATCTTGAATATTGTGTTCTGCCCAAGGCATAATAATCGCGAGGACGTCAAAATTAGCGAAAAAATCGTCTGCACAAATCAGCAATTTCTCTGCATTCTGATGAAAAGCTTCAATACGAACGATCACTCTTGTCTGGGATTCCAGTGTTTCCAGATTTACTAACTGGTCAAGCGAGAATCCGTTTTCTTTGACACACGAAATTTCTTCGTCTATTACAAGTATATGGTCTGGAGAATATGAATTAAACTGCTCAGTTTGCATGGAAGAATTATTTTGAATTATAGTCACATAGGGTTGTGCATTTGCAAACTCAACAGACGCACAAAGTCCATAAATATTTCCTACATTAGATTCTACACTGATGGCAAATTTGCCTATTTTTGCGGCTAAAATGCTGAATCTTCCATCACCTGCTCCAACATCTATTAATACAGAGTTGGTATGGAAGGCAAGATTGCTGTGAACAAGTTTAAGGAGTTCGAATTGTGTCTGTTTTGCAAAATCTTTCTTTTCTAGCGTATTCTGATTGTTTGCCACCATGTGTAAAAGTAATTTTCCAGCAGATGATTCAACACTGTTCTGTATTGTAAGTGGCTTCTGCTGACAGACATTTTTCCTCCTCCACTTCGAATTCTCCCTGACAAAAACTACTACCGTGTTCGAATCGTCGTTCCGAGAGACACCGGCGTTGTTAGTTAAATTTTCAACGACTTCCTGTTCGTCGTAATCACCAAAATCCGGGTCTTTAAATCTATCATAGTCCAGCGAATCTAGTCGTGGTAGGTTAGGTACCACAATTTGTACTTTGTTTGGTGTACTTGGACGAGGAAGTTCAATCAAAAACAGAAAACAGATGAAGAACACAGCACAAATACAAGACAACACACACACAATCGTCCGTTTCTTTGAACACCGTAACTGCATGACACATCCACCTGGTAATGAAAGAACATAAGTATATGTTTTATTCTAATCCCTTTAGAATTTTAGTGATTATGTTCATTTACATAAATATACATATGCCTTAATTATACTAGTGTTTTAAAAAAGTACGTTTCGTAGTGTATGTGGGAAACCATGGAAACAACGTCCACTTATCCCCCTCCCACTGCCTCCGTGATATTCGTCTTTTCAAGTCAAAATTCCCATTTCCATATGAAATATGTGCTATCCTATTAAGAAGTGACACAAATGACTTTTAATTTAGATTTATACATGCAGTAGAGAGCATACAGGGAAAAATAAGTTCGAGAACTACAACAAACTGTGATTTTTACAGGTTTTATCTTATATTAATACAAGGGTAAACTGTAACATAATATATTGATTTTTATATACACATACAGCCTCATTTGACGGTCGGTTAATTTGATAAAAAAAGATTGATAATACAGAATTTTATCTTACCTTACACGTCAATGTTTTTCATACTAAAGTATGTGTCCAGTCAAGCGCGGAGTGAATCTGTTTTGCTATGCTTAAACTAATAAATATTAAAAATTAGGAAGGTTGTCATTGTAGGGATCACCCCCCCCCCCCCCCCCTCGCTTACCCTTCATTTTCAAGACACTGGAAAATGAAAAGATGTTTTTAGTATGCAGTTTAGTTTAGAATCTTTCATCAAAACTGAGATTTTTACTCCTTTAAAGTAATTTATGAGTGATGTATGACGAGCTCATTTCGTAAATTAACTGCCGTGTGGAAAAATCGTTATAACTGAATCTTTCGAGAATAAACACGTTAATTTTTAATTATATCGCAAAACTTTCGCAAAGAAATGCGTACTTATTGCGTGAAAATGCAGAACTTCCGCTATTTAACGCGCAAGTTTCGCACACAACACAGAACTTTTGCGTTATATTTAACGCAAACTTTCGGGTTATAAGCTTAAGTTTTGCTGAATATTTTTATGGTAATAATAATGGTTGATACAAGCTGAGTGAGAAAACTTCATCTTTTTATTCATCCAAGTTTTTAGCTCACCTGAGCTAAAAGCTCAAGTGAGCTTTTCTGATCACCCGTTGTCCGTCGTCCGTCCGTCTGTAAACTTTTCACATTTTCAACTTCTTCTCAAGAACCACTGGGCCAATTTTAACCAAACTTGGTACAAAGCATCCTTGGGTGAAGGGGAGTTTAAATTGTTAAAATAAAGGGCCAAGCCCCCTTCCAAGGGGAGATAATCAAGAAAAGACAAAAATAGGGTGGGGTCATTAAAAAATCTTCTTCTCAAGAACCACTGGGCCAGAAAAGCTGAAACTTATGTGAAAGCATCCTAGGGTAGTGTAGATTCTAAATTATTAAAATCATGACCCCCGGGGGTAGGGCGGGGCCACAATAGGGAATCCAAGTTTTACATTGAAAAATGTAGAAAAAAAATCTTTAAAAATCTTCTTCTCAAGAACCACAGGGCCAGAAAAGCTGAAACTTATGTGGAAGCATCCTGGGGTAGTGTAGATTCTAAATTGTTAAAATTATGACCCCCGGAGGTAGGGCGGGGCCACAATAGGGAATCCAAGTTTTACATTGAAAAATGTAGAAAAAAAATCTTTAAAAATCTTCTTCTCAAGAACCACTGGGCCAGAAAAGCTGAAACTTATGTGGAAGCATTCTGGGGTAGTGTAGATTCTAAATTGTTCAAATCATGACCCCCGGGGATAGGGCGGGGCCACAATAGGGAATCCAAGTTTCACATTGAAATATGTAGAAAAAATCTTTAAAAATTTTCTTCTCAAGAACCACTGGGTCAGAAAAGCTGAAATTTATGTGGAAGCATCCTGGGGTAGTGTAGATTCTAAATTGTTCAAATCATGACCCCCGGGGGTAGGGCGGGGCCACAATAGGGAATCCAAGTTTTACATTGAAATATGTAGAAAAAATCTTTAAAAATCTTGTTCTCAAGAACCACTGGGCCAGAAAAGCTGAAACTTATGTGGAAGCATCCTGGGGTAGTGTAGATTCTAAATTGTTCAAATCATGACCCCTGGGGTAGGGCGGGGCCACGATAGGTATTACAAGGGGGAAATCGGGTGAAAAACAGCAAGGCCAAAGTTACTCAGGTGAGCGTTGTGGCCCATGGGCCTCTTGTTAGTGCACCTAATGATATAAAATGCATTTTAACGGCCAAAAAGCGTTTCAAGTACACTTTTAAAAACACTGATTCAACTTCAGTTACATTGAAGAAATAAAACTTTTATTAGTTCAATGTAACTGAAGTTGAATTTATTATAAAAGATTTTGTTTTGTACAAATGATAGGTTTTTTAAAAAAAAAAACAATACAGGCACATGTCCCAGAAACTGACACGATCTTTGAAAATAAAATAAGCTTTCAACGTGCTCGAACGTGAAACAGAGACCTTTACGTAGATTATGAAGTCCAACGTTCTGTTCCGAAGGTTACGTTTACTTGTAAATAAAGTTGTACAAGAATTACTTACAAAAAAAACAGAAGTCTCTGATGAGACTTTAACTCTACTGGTTTTTACCTAACAAAGGTAGAGAAAAGTTACTGTAGCACTTGGACTTGAAACTATGACAACAACAGTCAATCTCTTTTTGAGTTATCTGGATATTGTAAATCGTAAAAGTTATAGGTCAGCTTTGTGTATATTAAGGGTATCCAGTCATGATTTGGAAGTAGAATGTGGCAGGTATAGAAATATTCCGAGAAATGAAAGAGTATGTAAATTTTGTTTAAAAACTAAAGGAATTCTTTGTATTGAAAATGAAGTCCACTTTATCGAATATTGTGATCTGTATAAAGATATTTTCAAAATATCTCTTCTTTTTGGGAAATAAACAAAAATTATTTCAATATGGATGATCAAATATCTTAATGCTTTGGCAAAGTATATTTTCCTATAGCTTTCAAAAGAAGAGACGTTTTTATGAAGTCTGAAGAAGATTGATATTTACTACTTGTATAAAAAATTGTAAGGCTAAAAGTGCTATGTTTTGTCTTATGTTTGAACCGGACTATGTAAATACATGTGATTTAAAATGTATTGTACTTTGGGCCGATGGCTTTGAATACTCTAGTAAATATATGATTGATTGATTGACAACAGCAATAAAATAATAATCCTTGCTTTTATAGTCTTTTTTGTGACAAGTTTTATTGTAATTGAACAAAAATTAATGTAGGAGTAGCCTTTTGAAAGAAATTCACAGAAATATATCCTTTTAGAAACCATGGCAACATCATTTATTAAAATAAAAAAAACTGATAAAAAGGATTAAGTATCTAAGTGAAGTCTCCACTAGTGTACCAAGTTTTTTATTGAAATCAGACCAAAACTGCAGGAGGAGTATAATTTTAAAAGAAATTAATAATCTTTTTTTTTTAATTTTTAGTAACTGGAAACAGATTTAAACTGCAGGAAAAGTAGCATTTTGAAATAATTTCAGATAAAATTCTATTTTTAGTAACCATGACAACCCCGTTCATTCATATCAAAAATAGATATATAGAATCATTTATTTTCAAGTAGTCTGTGTATCAAGTTATATCTAAATTGAACGAAACCTGTAAGAGGAGAAGCATTTTGAATGAATTTCACAGACATTTCTATTTTAAGAAAAATGGCAACCCCGTTCATCGAAAACAAAAACTGATATAAAGAATTATGCATTTATGTGTAGTACTAATTATGTACTAAAACTGCAGGAAGAGTAGCATTTTGAAAGAATTTCACAGAAATTTCAATTTTTAGTAACCATAGCAAGCCTGTTTTTCCAAATCAAAAACCGATAAAAAGAAAAAAAAGTGTGCCTAGTTATATTCAAATTGGACCATAACTGTAGGAGGAGTAGCATTTTAAAATGTTTACAGACAAACAGACGAATAGCTAAACAGACAGTCGGACGACGGACACCATACTAACTGCCTATATATAAGTATTCTGGTCTCTGACCAGTAGAGCTAAAATGACACAACTGCATGTCACAAAACATTATTTCTGATTTTAGAAACAATTGTCATTGAATAATAAGAATCTTTCATTTTAAGTTCAATCAAACTGGATATTTATTTTTTTTTTTAAAGAAGAAAATCAAAATTGTAAACAAAATGATGGCAATGCAAGTGTATCTATTCCCCTTTCCAGGATTTAAAACATCCGCTCCTCAGCCAGGAACAATAATTCTTTTAAAAATCATTATTTAATTCAATAAATCTCCAAATTAAGCTTGAAATTGAAATATTTTTCGTGCAACAATTTTCATTCTATTCATCCTATGAATTAAGGTTCTTTGAAATGTTAGAAGTTATAAATGTGAAGATAAGGAACATTGGTCAATCTCATCAACTCAGTAAACAAAACGAATCGTGAACAGGACAAGAACACGGAGCCCTGGAAACATCAGAGGAAGAGTAAGCACCCCCTGTTGACCGGTCACACCCATCGTGAGCCCTTTATATTGCTCAAGTAGACGGAGTACTCCGAAGTCAAATTTTGTAGAAAAACAAAGGCCTAGCACTGGGTAAGAAACATGTCAGACAAAATACGATCCAGCGATAGGGTGTATTGACATTTTTATGGTTATTAAAGCGACCATTGAATTTTCTAAAAGCTGACTTGAAACAGGACGGTTGAAATCCTTGTAACATCAACGTATTTGTCTGTAGCTAGCTAGGCTCGGTTTAAAAATTCATAGTATTCAGAGCATTCTCCTGCATGCGTATCGAATCACTTGGAAGACTTAAACACCATATGAAGGTGATGTTGGAACACTTTTCCAAAAAGTAGACATTTGCACCCCAATAAACAAACCAAAAATTACATTCTTTAAAGAAATCTAACTTCCTTTAATTTTGTCTAAGATACCAATGTTTATTAGCATGAATTGAAACTGGAAGTGACATGTGATATCTTGCAATGATATCACCTACTTTTTACATTATGTTTGTTTAACAATTGATGTGAATAGAAGAATATACTTTTCCCCGAATGCCTAGATACCTACAATTATATATAATTTATTTTTATCCTAAAATATACTTATGGATAAATGTTCAATTAGAAAATGCATGACGGGTGCTTTTATTCATGTTTCATGATAATATATTGAATACACTGTATTTGTTAATTTCCCCATGCAATATGATAAACTATAGCCTAACTATGAACTTCAAAGAAATAATATGGGCATACTGAGTATATACTCACATTACTTTGACAATTCAATGTCGTTGCATTTTCAGTTACTAACTACTGATTTCAGGGATTACTTTATGCCAGTGTGGACTGAAATTCTTTCTTTACACTCATGGATATCGTTGAGAGACCTTTCTACAAGGCGATTTAAATTCTCTAATCGATCTCTTAACGATCTTTGAAAGCCCCAAAAAGTTCATTCTGTGTAAACGGCGAACGCGACCGTTCATCTTCCCAAGGAAAAATGTTCAACGAAGTTTTCTTGAATAGACGTCACTGTTGATTAATTATAAATGGGGAAACGTGCATTTATTGCTAGTTGGTTGTAGTTTTACGTCCCTTGCAAGGTTATGCATACAAAATTTACTTTATCTTGGTCTAATTGGAGTCCAATACAGTATATCTATACTTGAAATTAATACTTGAATCAAATACAAATTGTGTCATATACTACATTTCAGTTTTACTCTGATTCTTGTCTAAGGGCAGAGCGCATTTGCGAAATCTTCGAGTAAAGTGGCAAGAAGTTTCACGTTACAAGGTCTATGCGTTTTTTGCCGGGTTCTGTATCTTTTCGCATTTCTTTGCGTTTATTTATAAAGCTAAATGTTCGCTTTATAAGACGTAATAAGGCAAAGTTTTCACGAATTAACGCGAAAATTGCATCTTTTAGCATAAAATTTGCACTTTTCTCGCCAAAAATAGTTGCTCAAAGACTTTCGTATTTATTTCGTCAGGAATATTTGTTACCAACGTTGAGTGGAAAATGGTCAACCATTTTTTTATTTATCTATTTATTGAATTCTTTTTAATAGTATTTTTCATTTTACTCCTTTGTCAGTGATCTTGATTTTGCTCAAATGACCTTTGGTCGAGGTCATGACATACCCTCAGGTCATAAGCAATATTTGACATAAGTATGAGCCTCCAATTTTTCTGCATTATATATATGGACAATTCTGGAATAATACTTTTTTTAAAATGACCGTACACTTGATTAAATGGCATGGATCACTCCAGGACATGAACTATCTTTCAGGTTTAAACTTCCAGTGTTTCTCCATTAAAAAGTTATAGACCAGTCACACTTTTTTCTGCCAGTGACCTTGAACTTGAGAAATGTTCTAGAGGGGGTTGGGGGGTTGGGGGGGTGCCCATGCCTTGCATGCATTCATTCTTTTATTTAAATCAGACAAAAACTATAGGAGGAATAGTGTTTTGAAAGAATTTTACAGACATTCCCAATAACAAATACCATGAAAATCACAAAAACATGCATCTTCTTGTAGTCCACTGTTATGCCAAGTCTTATTGAAATCGAACCAAAATATAGGGGGATTTGCATTTTGAAGGAAAATATTCACAATAATTTCTGTATTTGTAACCATGCAATCAATACTATTCTTGAAATTAAAGAGATTTCTCATTCCCAATATATTCTACACCCATCCACTGGCTGTTAAAAACTATGCAAGATAGTTATTTTACCTCCTAAAATATATATAGGAAACATTTTAACAAAAGTATGATAAATCTATCACCACTTTTATTGTAAACTAAATAATATACCTCATATTATCTTGAATAACAATTAAACTAATATTGATAGGTATAACTCAAATAAAACAATTCAATATAATACAAGTACATGTACACACAAAATTAACCCACAAATATTATTTCTATCTAAACATATAACAAGGTAATCAGCCATTTCTAAAGTCTGTACTTCATGACCTCTTGCACAAAAACTCTAATATCGGTTAATGTCTATATACAAGTCACTGTATCCAAATACAGGATAGTATTACTGTTTATTAAAACAATTCATAGCACTGGTACTTCCTCATGTTTCACAGGAAGTAGAGACGGTCCGACAACAACTCTGAGGGGTCCCTATGGAGGGACTGTCCGGTGAGGCAAGCCAATAGTATTACTGTTTTTTAAAACATTTCATAGCACTGGTACTCCGTCATGTTTCACAGGAAGAAGAGACGGTCCGACAACAACTCTGAGGGGTCTCTATGGAGGGACTGTCCGGTGAGGTAAGCCAATTTATGGGCATACTGACACGGTGCTGGGACCCGGATGGTTCCCTAAAATAAACAAGGCATTTAGACTTAAAATTGTCAAGAGTCGGGTAAAAGTTTAAAATACTGTAAGTACAGTTACCAGAATAAAAGAAATAAGTTTGTCCTGTGCCTTTTAACTCTGAATCCAATCTATGAAGACAACATCTGAGGCTTAAACTTTTTTCTTTATGTATTAATTTGAATTAAATAATATGTGTAACACTTCTCCAAAGGTACATTAAAGACTTACCGGCCAGTTGTAATACAAATGTGTCAATTTGTACGCCAACTGCTGCATGCGGTCCGGTGTGAGAAAGACAGCATTTTCATCCTCTACCACATTGTAATGTGTTGGAGTGACAGTTCCCTGTCTCACGGACTGCGACACACAAAAGAAATCGTACCTATCAAATTCATGTAGAATGTTAATGGACCAAATGAATTGGAAGTTTTCATAAAATTAAGAAAAAAAAAAGCTTTATATTCCATATTTGCCCAATCAAGTGCCCACAACACTTGGAACATCAGAAAGAATACACACTTATACAATATAAGAAATCAGGGCACTTTATATGAAAACAATATCTGCATTTTTTTATGTACCAGGTACCAAGTCTTCACAAACAATTACTTTGTCAATGTATCTTCTAACTTAGTACGAGTACTCTACAAAATTATGTTCTCATGAACCAGTAAAATTTTAGTTGGCCATATATCAGAAATCAGATCTACCCTCCCACACCCTCAAACTAATGGAGAGAATAAAAATTCTTATCAAAACTTGAAAGGAACACGTGTTAAGTTCATGGATCATGAAAAAAGTTATTTTGAATATGGTAGAAAAGAAAAAAAAAATTGTAAATGGATGGATGGACAGATAGATTACTAAACATCAACTTCAAATTGTTGTGGAACAGAGGAAGGGGGTTGGTCTACTTAATTAACAAATTTCTGCCTTTATTTTTATGGTTGGACTTACTTGACATTAGGTCTTGGTTTGGTGACATCTGTATCCACAATTGTTCCAGGGTATGGATTTTCATTGCTACCTCTGAGGAAAAATCTGGTGTTTATTCTTTTTTTCACAATAATGATGGATAACTTTGGCCTGAAAAAAAAGTGAAAAAAAAATGACATAAAGAAATTAAGATAACAAATAAAAGTATTATGTACGATGTTAAATTCACATATAAATTTGTATTAACTTGAGACTTTGAGTACATTGACTAATTACTGTGGATTTGTTTTTTAAAGAAACTTCTCTCTATTTAACTCTATAACACTGTGTTCATACCTTGTACAAACTTCATGAGTAAATGAATTAATAATGAAATTTACTAATCATTATTACTAATGATCATGTATGTAAAGTAACTTGACTTAATAATGATAATTATATACCAATGATCATATGACTTGATCATACATTGTTTATATGCCTACCTATCATCTGGCTGCATCAGATTTAGTCTGTCAAAGGCTGCCAGGAACTGTGGTTTCTCATGCTCCAAAACAGCCTGTATCTGTCCATCTCCCACACCATCACGATACACAATGACCCGCTTAGGGAAGTAGCCATTTCTCTCATGGTACTTCTTCATTGCAGCTGAAAAACATATCACAGAAAACTTTTGTTAAACACACATGAAGACTAAACAACGTTATACTTGGAGGTAACAGCTTGTTTATACTTTTAACGTTCAACAACTAAACTTTTCAAATTAACCAGAGATGGAGTGGCAGAAGTTCTTTACAGTGGACCCTCAGATATCCAGATTCCAGATATCCGGAAGCTGAACAGATTTTTTAAATGTTCTTTTGTCTCGTTTATCCGGAATTTTGTGTTTCGTATCCGGACGGTCTTTTTTCACCACAAAATGCCATTTTACGTTACATTGTGGTTCATTTACCTGGACGTTCATTTTTAATTGGTCTGTCAACACTTTAACATTAAAATGGCAATGGCTGGCAAGATGATGCTCTATAGTACCCAGACAACATATCCCCCCTTACCTATGATACAGACGGTGATCCCATTCAACAGTTCCTCCCCAGGGTGTTGTGCCAGAGTTTTGGAATAATAACAGTTGAATCCAGGGTTTGTGGAGCACACCACACCAGCATAAGACAAGTTTCTAGTCTTACTGTCATGATACGTGTCAATCCCTACCAGCATTACAGCATGTCTAGATAGCTAAAAAATAGATGCTACTTTATAAACTACACCTAAGTGAATAACAAGAATAATACATGACCATTTAGTGTAATTCTGAATGAAATAGAAAATTGTATTGAAACTGGACTGCTCCGAAATATCTATCTATGCCAAGATAATAGCACATAAATCTCTCCCAGATTTCCTTGAGATGAAATAGGAGCCAAATAATTTTTACTGCTTTAATAAAAATATTAAAGTGTTATAAATGTTCAATACTCAGTCTCTGTACATACCGGATTGCCGACTTCCCACGGGAATCCCCCGAGTTTACAGTTGATCTGGATGGCTATTTTGGTGGCTACTGACTTTAGGGTCTTTGGGTTACTAATGGTCCTCTTTACCACACACTGACTGGGAACTGTAAGGAAAATCACATTCATACAAAAGGGCCGTGTTATGTTAGGATTTTAAGCCAGGTACTACACTGGATAAATGTTATTCTAATGCCCTGTTCACACAAATGTGTATTAAATACTTAATTTGCAGTAAATTGACGCAAAGTAAAATAATGCAAATTAATGAATGCAAAATAAATTGAGTTCACATGACAGTTAATGCAAAGTAAACTAATGCTCATTAAAATTTTATTTTTATAGTAAGGCTATTCAGTAAGGCTATTATGACGTCATTTTCCAGTCAAATCACCTTATGCAGAGCAGATCCATTTGACATAATGTCATAGTGTCTGTACACATTTTTGGAGATTAAAATATTTTTTCTTTTGTTTTTCACTCAAAAATAGCATAGGTAACTATCTATATCTGACCACATGAAACTCTCTGTGTGAACAGGGCATAATAGTGATCAAAAAGAGCCAACTCTCTTTATTGTATACATACAGTAAACACAGGGTTGAATCAAATTACATATTCACAAAGCCATTAGTTTTTAAAACCAAAAATAAAAATCTTGTTTGTAATAATAAGGAAAGCTTATAATTAAATTGCTCCACTACAGTAATTTAATATTAAGTAAGCTGTAATATACCTGGGTGTGTGACGCAGCACAGTGTCTTTATGTGGTCGTAACGTGATTTCTGGTAGTTCGGGAGGATACACATCACTAACTGGGTACTGGGATTGACTGTTTGCTTCAGCACTTTGTCATAATTGCCTATGCTGTCATTAGTCATTTGAGGCCTGGACAACAAAAATATACTGCATTCACAGGGGGATAAAGAAACTCATTTCTATACAAGTTTGATAGCAGGGAATGAGAGGAAGCCATATTACACGTCGTTGTTGATGAGAAATCAATTTTCTCCATTCCTGTTCAAGTTATTTTAAATTCTCCTTCAGAGTGCTTACAACGAAGGTAACAATTTTTGTTCGGTAAAATAGTGTAGGGGTAAACTTATGTTACAGAAACAAATGTGTGCTGGATATGGAAAAGAACTGAAATTAATAAGGGTGGACCAATGTATAAAATTTACAATTGAAGTAGAAATTTTTAAATTTATTTTGAGCATAAAGATAACTGGAAAACTGACCAGTCAGCATGGGCCCCGCCTAGGGGTAAAAATATAAGGGTGCAGCTTACAGAATGAGATTTTACATGATTAAAAAAATTTTAAAAATATATGATGAAGAATAAGCAACAGCAAATGTATTTATAAAATTTCAAGGTAATTTCTAAATATCCAAAAACCAGTAAATAGCATCTCTGTATTTACATAAGGCAGTAGACCATAAGTCTCTGACAAGACTTTAGTTCTACTGGTTTGTACTTTTAACAAAGGAACTTAAAATTATGCAAAAGCAAAAAATTAGAATAATGATCCTTGGTTTAGTTTTAAAATCAAAAACCAATACAAAGAATTAAGTATCATAGTGTAGTTCACTGTGTGCCAAGTAATTTTAAAAATCAGTCCAAAACTGTAGGAGGAGTAGTATTTTCAAAAGAATTTCAAAGAAATTTCTACTCTTAGTAACCATGACAAGGCCGTTCATCAAAATTAAAAACTTATTAATAGAATTATGTATCTTAGAGAAGTCTACTTGTGTGCCAAGTTATACTAAATCAGACCAAAACTGTAGGAGGAGTAGTGTTTTGAAAAATTATTTACAGACAGACGGCCGGCCGGACGATGAACACCTTAATATCGCATAAGCTCTTCCGGTCTCTGACCTGTAGAGCTAAAAACATATCCCATAATAACTCAATTAAATGCACTTCAACAAGAATGAAGCATGTGTTTTATAAAATGTTAACCTTCAGTAAATGCATATATATATATATACATGTATCACCCAGGCAAAGTTGTGCGGTATTTGTTAGAAGCAGCTGGTATAAATGACATGGTAAATTGAACACACTGTTTGTTCGTTATGTATTACTCTATGTCAGAAAAATATTTTTTCATTTGTTTCATTTGTTCTCATGTTAAAACTTATCATTGAAAGATAAATATTAAATGATTAGAAAAGAAAGTAATATTTTTTTCTTTGACCGAAGTATCAAAGAAAAATTTGGATGGAAAACTTTTTCATCAATGCGCTACGCATTTCAGATATTCATTTCTTAATTATATCTTGTTTTTTATAATTCAATAAAATTATCTCATTGTGTATTTTAACCAAAATAAAGTATGAACATTATTAAATACACATTTCAGAATTGACCTTAACTTTGAAACAAACTTCATTTGCAGACAGAGGTTTTAATTAATCTCAATGTAACAGATAAAGATAATGCTTTAGATTTTCTTCAAGATGAACGTATCTTCTGCATTTTTTTTTACTGGAAAAAACCAATTGTTGATAAATTTCTGTTGGCATTGTTATCACTTACATGACAGGAAAATCTATTTGTATCCCCATTCTAGCAGCAACATCCTGCAGCTGACCAATAAAGTTGCCCATAACTTTTGAACATTGACTGGGACAGAGCAACACCCAGTTCACAAGCTTGATGGGCAGTGGCAGGTACATGTTGTGCATCTGCCTTCCCCAGGCAGCTTCATCCATTTTGAAATTCAGATCTACCTCCTACAACAGCCAAATTTCATTGCATTACACATCAATATACATGTATATCTTATTGATGTTTTATGTGTACTTTAAATGTTTCAATGTGAGAATCATATGTTTGTCATTCTAAAGAATAAATTCTTTACTTATATTAATTACCATTCTACGAGAATCTCTGACTTTTATATTCTCTCTTCCTAGAACCCTTCCTTTGATAGTCAGCATGTCACTAGAGAAAGACAAGCCATCCATCTCTCTCTGGAATTGAGGGTTACTGAAAAAAAAACCCAGAAAAATTATTATTTTTTTACAAGAAGCTGTTTTGTTTTTCAAAATAGCTCTGTATTGTTTTAAAGTGATATAAACTTCTTGCCATCTTACACTAACATTAAATCATTGGGGGGGGGGGGGGGGGGGGGAGTGATTGGTCAGAGAGCCAGCAGGTGCTTGTTTATAATATCCACCAGGTCTGATTTTTTTTTTCCTCCTAGATCTATTTGATTTTTAAAGATTATGTTCTCCTGTAACTGAGACTTTGACCCCCTAATGTGGCCCCAATTATTGTCCCAAGGATACGATTTGAAGAAGTGGAGTTACATTATAACAGGAAGCTCTGTCTTTCCTGGCCTAGTAGTTATTGGACCATGACACAACTCCATTGTCTTAATTATCCCAACCCCTCCTCCTGTAGAAGGGGTGTGGAACCATGTGAACAAATTTAAATCTTCATTAATGAATTCCTTGTGTTGATGAATGTTTTTGTTTGCCATTTAACAATAAAAAAATGTATTTCTTTTTCTGTATGAAGACTGTCATAAATGCAGTATGTATTTATCTGTGCATGTTAAATGTGTAACTGTATTACAGTAAGACCAATAGTAAAAGTGTCAGTTCTTCTGTTTTTCAGTTGAGTATTCAGGTACTTGATTAGATAAGGAACCAGTAGTGAGTTACAGGGTATGAGATTTGACCAAACAAATTTATCTTTTCCAAACAAACCTGTTTATTCTCTTTACAAATTCCTGGAGACTGGCTGCTCTATCAAATGGTTCCACACGAGTTGTTTCAGCAATGTCCCGCATGACATGATAATCTGAGCGTTGTTGAGCTGTTAGTCCTACAAATAGTTAAAATCTCACCTATAAGCTTGGATCAACCAATGATAAAGACAGATTTGATGCCAAAATTATGGACCTCTAATGGCTTTAAGTAAGAAGTACCAGAGAGCTGGATAGCAAAGATGTTTCTTTCAGGGATGACAATCGATTACAGAATTGCTAATCAGTTAATTGCAAGATGTTCCGACCAATTAATCATATCAAAATGCACATTTTCTTTCCCAAGTAAATCTATTCATACACGGAAGAAGACTAAAAAAGAAAGCAGAAGTTAGAAACTTTCTGTTTATTTTCTTCATTTGGAAACTACATGTATATGTACATATATTTTTCTTCAATTTCAAAAGACAAGAAAACATAGGTAATCAGAGATTACAGAGCTCACCTCAACGAATGTTGTCTTTAAGTAAGGCAAAGTCCCACACTAAACTAATAATCTAGGAGTGTGCATCCCTAGATGCAACATTTATGCAATTTTGGTCTGATAGGGCTTGCAGTTACTTGGGAGTGGACTTATCTGAAAACTTAAAACTAGTCACTCATTCAGAAAATGTAAGTCAAATCCAGCATCCGAAGTTTTGAGATTGTTCGTCCCTTGATGCATCATCCATGCAAGTTTGGTTCAGATAGGCCTTATAGTTACTTGGAAATGAGATCTGCTCCAAAAACTTTAATCTGGTCACTCATCCGGAAAATATTGGTCAGATCCAGCATCTGAAGCAAGTCCAGTTGTGTGAATCCTAAGATGTATCATCCATGCAAGTTTGGTCAATATAGGGTTTATAGTTACTTGGAAATGACATCTGCTCCAAAAACTTTAACCTGGTCACTCATCCGGAAAATATAGGTCAGATTCAGCATCTGAAGCAAGTTCAGTAGTGTGCATCCTTAAATGTATCATCCATGCAAGTTTGGTCAATATAGGGCTTTTAGTTACTAGGAAATGGGATCTGCTCCAAAAACTTTAACCTGGTCACTCATCCGGAAAATATAGGTCAGATCCAGCATCCGAAGCAAGTCCAGTAGTGTGCATCCTTAAATGTATCATCCATGCAAGTTTGGTCAATATAGGGCTTTTAGTTACTTGGAAATGAGATCTGCTCCAAAAACTTTAACCTGGTCACTCATCCGGAAGATATAGGTCAGATCCAGCATCCGAAGCAAGTCAAGTAGTGTGCATCCTTAGATGTATCATCCATGCAAGTTTGGTCAATATAGGGCTTATAGTTACTTGGAAATGAGATCTACTCCAAAAACCTTAACCTAGTCACTCATCCGGAAAATGTAGGTCAGATCCAGCATCCGAAGCAAGTTCAGTAGTGTGCATCCTTAGATGTATCATCCATGCAAGTTTGGTCAATTTAGGGCTTATAGTTACTTGGAAATGAGACCTGCTCCAAAAACTTTAACCTGCTCCAAAAACTTTAACCTGCTCCAAAAACATTAACCTGGTCATTCTTTAGCTGAAATTGCAGCATCTGAAACCTTGACTGGTACAATGAAACACATTAGAAGCATCCTCCATGCATCTCTGACTAATATAGGCCATAGAAGTACTTGAAAAGAAAACTGCTCCAAAAACCTTAACCTGGGACGCCGACGCCGAGGGTATTACATAAGCTCCCCCAACTTCGTTGAGGTGAGCTAAAAATTAAGAAAACCATGAACCTTGCCTCAGAAATCAGACATGAATTTTCCAGTGTAGATGTCACACAAGTTCATTCTGCATTGTCACCATAATCAAAACTATGCTTGAATTTCCACTTAATTTACAATGCTTCTAATGATATAATTTAATAGATAACGACAAAAGATAGACATACTAATTCATAGTGCTCAACAGTGATTTATTTATTATCATCAAAGAATTGTGGGATAGTCTGGGTAAAGACATGATGTTTTTAAAAACAGTATTTATATAACTCTTCCCAAACTGACCAGTTACCCTTTCATTCTGGAGAGCCATAATTATCTCCAATTTAGCTTGATAATAAGGTGTATAAAATGCTAATTATTAACTTTATATGCAGAGGTTTCCTTTCTAAAAATGAAGTTTAAGAAAATTGCGCTCAAAGTTACATATATTTTAGTTTTTTCGACTAAACAATTACGGATTTTCTAACCGGTTACCATCATTCGGATCAACTGATCAGTAAACCCATTATAAATTGCCATTAATAGTATCTTTACTTGCCTACACCAATGAGATAGCCCTACTAGTGAGATACATGTAGTAGAACTGTACCTCTTACATGTCTAACACTACTAATGAGATAGGAGAAAAGGAGATTTGTGAACTTAAGCAATGAGATTGCCCTGTTAGTGAGATATAAAGCCTGTACTTCTTGTAAGTCTGGAACTAAGCAATTGTTCTGTAAGTGAGACAGGAAGCGTACTTCTTACATGTCTAGAACTACCACTAACTAGACTCACCTGTGAGAAAGCAAAGCTGAGGAATTAAGTACACAAACTCAGGACGTCCTGGTCTTCTCTCTCGCCTCGGAACTCGATGAAGAATCAATGGCTGCTCCCTGATGTCAGTAAGGTCAATGTCATAGTGCTAGGAAGAGAATAATCTTACATTTCATTTCTCAATATTTGCTTAGCTTAAAATTCTAAAATCATCAGACTTTACTTCATATATTTGGACAGTGTCATTTTATTTTTCTCTGTCACTGAGATAATTATAAGACGCACCTGTTTATAATAGTCAATGTAAGTCATGCTTGTTCCATCTGCCCTGGGGAACGAGTCAGTGGGATGCTTGGAAAAGTCAACATCAGCAATTTTATACGTTCTATTGTTGTACCTATTGATGAAAAAAAAAAAACTAGACTTCAGCTCATGAGAGTCTAAAATGTTCCCAAAAGTTTAAATCCAACAATAATTTTATTTTACAAAGCTAATTCATTTCCAGAGGTTAAACTTGATATCTTCATGGTACACTGTGTTATGTTTTCTACCTAGTTATGACAGTACACCCAACATATCTAGCCCTGATCTGAATCTTCTGATCTTCTTCACTGCTAGCTAATGTATAGACTTCCTGGAAAAGAGTCCACATGGTATCGTCTCGAAGAATTTTGTGGCTTATGTCAGCACAAAGGAGCATTCCATGCTCGTAATTAGCGACGCTCGTTACATACCCAGGATAAATGGACAAACTGTCATGAAATAAAATAGGCACTGAAAATTGTTTGGAAATATCATCTGAAAACCAAGTGTTTTGAGTTTCAAGAATAACTGATAGTTACAACCAAATTGTATTTTTAATGTTTGAATGTCACTTTACTAAAACACAACCAGATAATTTAGAGGATGTGTTTCTTCAGAAGTCCAGGAATTAACAGTGATTCTTGGGTGCTATTTTCTTTAGTTGGACTTACCGGTGTTCTGGGTACTTCTTTACAAGCTCTGGACTCATATCATAGTAATTCCTGCCAATGAATGTCATCCCCAGTAGATTCTCCAAAATTCTGGAACAAAAGGGTCAAGTTAAGTTTCTGCATTGAACTTTCTATTTAAAATCATGTGCAATAAAATATCAAAAACGTAATTCTAATTTCAGTATCTACCGTTTAGTTTTTATGTATTCCAAGCTTTATTAAAATCTGACCATTAAAATGAAAGAGTTGAGCAATTTAAAAGATCTTAAACAGAAGTTTCTCTTTTTTTTTAAGTGATCATGGAAACACTTTAAAACAAAGTAGGGAATTAAAGAACCTGTATACTTGTGTGCCAAGATTGAGTGAAATTACACAAAAATTGAGGAGTAACATTGAAAAAATTGTTTGTAAACAGACAGAGAGGTACATGGGTGAGACACTTGCTGGTCTTCAACCAGTGGAATTAATAATAAACTAGAGCACTGGACCAACTTAAAAATAATGTATGTTTGCCCTCTTCCAACTGAGGATAAAAAAATTAGGTCGGTAGGTAGGTCAAAAAAAATTTTCCCTAGAAAATTTCAAAATCATTGTGAATTTTCAAAATCTATTTTCTGGAATGTGTAAAAAAAAAAATAATTGCTTCTTGGAGGTTAAAAAAAGTTTTGAGTTGGGCCATTTTTAACCAGTCAGTCGGGAGAGGGCAACCAAACAATTTTTTAACGATGGTCCTGCCAAGGGTAGAATGAGAGTCAAACCTTCCCAGCAGTACACAGTACAACTTTTCGGTTTCTGGGTCAGACCCGGACATTTCTCTGGTCTCTTTGATGGTCACTCTGATTGGGGAGTTATCGACTGGTGATCCTACAGTTATCTCTGTTACCTGAAACAGCCAACATGATAGGCACCCTGACCCATAATATTTATCTACAGGGAACACGTCAAGTCATTAACAACGTATGCTTCATTATACGATCTGTAAAATATATTTCATTTAGCTGTGTATTCTAATTAGCATTTTCCATAGAAAACACCTTCTGGTAAATCAAGTATGTCGCTAAATATATATATATATATATATTCTTTTATATAAAGCAAATTAAATTCAGAAAGAGCTATATCAAATCTACGCTAACTTGTTGAAAATCAATTTCCACAGAATGTTGTACATGCTAAGTAAAATACATTTACAGTACCTTATCTGGCATTCTGTATGGCAGGTAAAGTATTCCCCCATCAAAAATAGTGGTTTTCTTTCTAAACTGTGGGAGCTGATAGAAAACTTTCTTCTTCATTCTTGTGGAGTCTAAAGGTGGACTGAAGTCTATGTGATATTGGTAGTAGATCCAATTCTTACTCTCCGAGAGGCTGAAATAATTAGTCATCAGCTGAATGGGTTGTCCTGTGTGACCTGAAAAGACAATAGAAACAAATTAAAAGCAGAAAGCAAGATCTCCATGAGACACAAGATATCATTTGGTTTTCTTACTACATGTACTTCTATTATAAAGCCAAAGGCAGTAAAATAAGTGTACTAATGGAATGGTTAATGTTTTACTATGGTATTCCTTCATATATCAAGGTGAAAAAAAGCACATAAAAGAACTTTAACATGTATTAATTAATGACTTGTCATAGACCCACATTCATGGTTTCAATTCATTTAAATCTTTCATCGTACATACATGCCCTAGCTAAACAGGAGAATAGGAGGGGGAAAAGTGGTGTAAAGGGGAGAAAAACTGTGTGAGGGGAAAAAAGGGTGAGGGAAAGGGGCATCCCCTTCCACCCATCTAATATATGAACTGGCATTTACATAGGATATCAAAAATCCCCAAATTAGCACGAGTGTTCACCTCCAATTACAATGTATGAGCCCTTTACATAACTTGACACAAATGTGCCTAACTGATTATTATCACTCACCCACTAATCTCTGTATCTGTAGATTTCCAATTCCTCTTCTCACGTCCTCTGGCTGGGCTGGGGAACCTCTGACAGTCTGTTCAGCCCCAGCTTGGGAACCTCTCACAATCTGCTCAGGCCCAGCTTGGGCACCTCCGACAATCTGCTCTGTCCTGGGTGGGGTTTCTCTTACAACCTGCTACCATACCAAATTTTTACTATTGACAGTGTTACTCACACAGTTTTCAAATTCAAATTAGAGTGAACAAATACTGTAGATATTGAAGTAGTAATTAGAATTCTATTAGAAATTAAAAATTTTATACAACTGCATATTATGACCTTTCAAAAAAAGTTTTGAATAAATTTGAGTATCATTAATATTGTATATCCCTGCTGTGTCTGAAAAGTTTTTGTGGCCCCACCAAACACCCCTGAGGGTAATTTTTTTTCTGGGAGGGGGGGGGGGACAAAATTGAATCTGTTCTACTTTCAATGATGCATGTGTATTTTAAAGTATGACTAATCATGGCCCTCTTGTTCTTGAAATTTTTTTTTACTAGTTTTTCCCCTCATACACTAATCCTCTGTCGTGGCCCCATCCTTCACCAGGGAGCCATAATGTGATCAAATTTGAGTCTACACTTATGTAATGAAGCTCTCACATAAGTTTTAACTTTTCTGGCTCAGTGGTCCTTGCATGATCAAGATTTTTAAGTGATCTCTTCCCCTTTTTTTTTTAAAATATCTCTCCCTGGAATGGAGCAAAGTCCTTCACCATGTTCATATGAACAAACTTTAATTCCCTTTTACCCTGTACCAAGTTTGGTTGAAACTTTGAAAAAGGTCACATTTTGGCTCAGGTAGGCTGATAATTTTACCCATCATGTAATGCAAGTTCAGTATGTATACCCTGATTGTGCTTTAGCAGTAATGTAATGTTTATGTATACCTGTACTGGGGGCTTTTGGGCCTCTGAACTGTGTTCCCCTGGTCTGCGAATTTCATCTCCATCCAGTCTCCTTGCTCTCCCTCTAGCACGTGCTCTCCCTCTTCCCGTCATTTCTGGTATTACACCTCAAAAACTGAAATCAGAAATTAACCATAGACCTCTAAATCTTACGTCGAATTAATTAACAGGCCCAAGAGACATCATGGTGCAATGGCCTCACTGAAAACATACACACATACGTCTGGTCGGTTACGTCTCATCAGACATATTATATAATGATAAATAATAAAAAATAAACATGTTATGTTGTGTTTCTGGTCTCATGCACGACCGTTGTGGGTTTTATGGACACATTTAATCATTTTATATAGCCTTAGGTACCTAGCTAGCGCCGCAATCATAGCAATGTCCGATCGGAAAAATCTGACCATCCACGTGAACCTCGGCATATCATTCCCAGTGATTCAATCATTCATGTTATTAAAAAAAATCTAAAATAGACAGGTCATGAAGAAGAAAAATTTTAGTTTACATATACTGCTGAATGTATATCCCTAAATCGGAGTCGTCATTTTCCATGGCCAGGCCCAGGGCAAACCAGAAACATACAAGATAGGCGTCTCTGGGCAGACGAATCGTGAAAGGAAAATAAGATCTAACAAAATGGCGTGCGGGAAGGTCAGTGCATGTGGTCAGGGTGTTATTCCTAGGTCAATTCTATCATTCTTTATAGCCCTAGGCTAAAGCGGGAACAAATGAGGAAAAACACGTATTGTACAGCTGTTGTATGCGTACGGATTTTCTGAAAGACTTAAGTCGATAAAATCTTAATGATTTTAAACTTACTTTTTAGGGATTTACTTCGTGGTAGACTACCTGACATCAGTCTATCTTCCCGCCGGAACAGTCTGCTGTTTTTACTATCATTCCAACAACAGCGTATCGCTTTGCTTGAACAGTTGAAAGTGCGTGGTATAAAATTATCATTCCATTAACAGCGTGTCAGTTTAAATTTCACAGTGATTAATTACCTTCACAGGTACTTAAAAATATAATATTACCTGTGATTACTTTGGTATGGATGTTTAATTTCAATGAAATAAATACTATGTACACAGAACCCAGCAATACATTGGGTATTATTTTTTATCACAGGTGCTTGAGGACAGGAATCCCCCCCCCCCCCGATTTAGACCCCCGGGCTTTTTCGACTTCTTTCTCATAAATTATCTTTCAATGACATATTTGTGATCTATACTTCTTCTATTTACAACAAAACTTCAGAGCGCTGAAGATTACTTGCTGGTGCGCATGCGTGACCTAAGCAAACGAAATCGGGGGGGGGGGGGACTCCCTAGGTTCACGCATGCGCATTCTCCATACACAGGCACTTGTTTCTGTAATAATTTTTTTTATTATTTAAGGAATGTTTTTAAAGTTTTGTGTGAGTTATTTAAGAAATGAATTTAATTTTTGAAGATTCATGAGGACATGAACTACGACGTACGCTTCACGCCGGCATATTTCATGAAGCGCGTACGTTAGCGCTTCATGATAAATATGCCGACGTGAAGCGTTGTAGTTCATGTACCTCATGAATTTTCAAAAATTAAATTCTTTTGACGTCAAGTAAAGTATTATGACGTAACAATGGAGATATTAATGCTCATCTATGGTAGTTCATGAGAAAATAAATAATCTTCTAATTTGCAAACAATCTTAAGGAATAATATTTGGAAACGTAAATATTTAAGGAATGTTTTTAAGTTTTGTGTGAGTTATTGGTGTGTAAATCACACAGACTTGTCATGTAGGCATATTTGATGAAGCGCGCTAGCATTTTACAAGTTTAAAAGCACGGATAATATCTTCAATATCTGAATTTCTTGCTGCCCTATATCGCATTTTTATACACAAAAATGACTTTCAAATCAATTTCAAAGTTCGCTTAGAAGAAAAACACAGCAAATGTAAATATTATACTATGGGTCAAAAAGTCATTTTTGTGTATACTCACGCGTAGAAATATACACGGTGAAACTCGCGCTAAAGTGACTTCACAATGAGGCTACAGAGACGTAAATAAAAATTTAACGATGGAGGGCATCAAGAAATTCAAATATTGAGTATATTATCGGTGCTTTTAAACTTGTAAAATGTAAATATAAGGAATGTTTTTAAGTTTAGTGTGAATTATTGGTGTGTAAATCACACAGACTTGCACGTAGGCATATTTTTCATGAAGCGCTAGCGCGCTTCATGAAATATGCCTACGTGACAAGTCTGTGTGATTTACACAGCAATAACTCACACAAAACTTAAGGTCAAGATCTAGTAAATGAGTTTAGACTGTCTTTTTGGTGCTAGATCCATTATGACGTCATAATTGATTTTAAACTTAATTTTTCCCGTACTTTATGGCTATTATAGAATTATGTAGAAAATGAAACATTTTCATGTAATTCAATTTGAAATCATGTCAAAATTAACCCCGAAGCCTATATTCAAATTAATATCATTTTAAAGAAGAGGTCAAGAAGATATGAAAAACTGTTTTCTGAGAGACTGAAGGCAATATTGATACATTTTCTTTTTCTGAGAAGGAAAAAACTCCCATATTTATACCTAACTTCCTTCATTTTTCATTGAAAATAACAGTTTAAAGTATCTTTTTTCGTTGAGTTTACCTAAAAATCATGCCCCGATACACCTAATTTCGCCAAGCTATATTTGTAAAGGATCATTGAAAGAACTTGTTTCTCAAATTTCAGAAATCTGAAGGCACCTTTCTTTTAATAGATCTTGACCTTAAAAACATTCCTTAAATAGAGAGAGAGAGAGAGTAGGGTAGTAATCTTTAATTATCAAATGTTTGTTTAATTAAGCCAATTTCCCCAATTGATGATATAGATTATATCACAAATGTGTCACCCATATATAATTTATGAGAAAAAAAAGTCGAACAGTCCCGGGGGTCTATATCGGGGGGGGGGGGTCCTGTTCTCAAGCACTTGTGTTTTTTGTTACATAAAAGTCCTTTTAAGAACAATTTTAACATATTTGTACATCATATATATTAGTCCAGGTATCGTATAAGAAATACAGATTACCCAACAGTGAAAACTAAGTACATATATTTTTTTCTTATTTTGTGTTTCATCTCTTGTATCCCTTAACTAGAAATGGTGGATCCACCTCCGTTTTTTTGTGTCTTAGTTCCCTCGGAAGCTTAATTCTGGGTATCACTGTGACTCAAAATATGAGATGTATCTTAAATTCTGGACTAAAATATTCCCCGAACGTCTACTCGCTAAAACAACTTTTTAGTTATCACACTCAATCAAGAGGCCCTCTAAAGGGTCCAGGTAGAGTTTACCTGCGTTACCTTGATTTAGCAAAGTAGTCTAAATGAATTAATAAGAATATTTACTGATAAAATTGTGTACTAAAGAAGAGTTTATTTATTAAATACTTGCTATAATTGAAGGAAATGGACAAATATTTTTTCATATAATTATAATATATATTAAAAAAAAAATTAATATTAGTAAAAGAAACATTACATCACAAAAGATAGCATGCTTATGAATTATTTTCAAATATTACTTTTTTAACCTAACACTTGGCACTTGACGCATTACTTACATCACATTTTAAGCTTTGTTTAATCTATATTAAACATGGAGAAAATTTTTCGCATTTGCAGGCCCGTAGAACGAAAACATTTTTCTGAGTATTGACTTTTCCTGAAGAAGAATCTTTTCCTCTAGATTTAATATGTAAATTTTGATTTAGATCCCCCCCCCGCCCCCAATACTTTTTGTTGCTGTAAGGTCGAGCGCTGGCGAATTCCAGCACTTAAAAAAATATATAAAAATATAAAACAGTTGGAGAAAGTCCATCCCTGCCCACACACAAACACACAAAATAGGATTTTCAGGGGTTATTTTTTTTATTCTTTTAATTTTACTTGTCAGATTTCTTGGGAGGTTGCCCCTTCCCCCATTGTTTAAACCACAGCGACCTGTTTGTTTGAAAGCAATCTATATGTTAGCACCGTTTTATTTACATCAAAGTTCAGACATGTAACTTATCGTTTTTGTAAAAGGGGAAGGAGCAGAATAAATTTTGATAACTTACTTTTAAAAATATTACTTAAAATCCAAATTCAATGGGGGGTGGGGGAGTGGGGGGGGGGGGTTAAAATTCAAAATAAAGTTTTTTTTCTTCAAGTAATCGTATTTACGCTTTTCAAAATAAATTATTTTAAGATCTCTTCTGAAAAGATTGTTTTAATTGCAAATAAGATCCTTTAGTGTTCAAAGTAAATGCACAATATAAATATCTAATAAAACGTCAAGAAAAGTCAGATAATCTTTTTATTCTTATTTTTGATAAAAAATCATTTATGAAAATAAAACACATTATTTTATTTTTTTTTTAAAACAATGGATAAAATCTTCAAGATTTTTACATTTCTTCTGAAAAAAAAATGTAAAATAATAAATATCTTTTATCAATTTTTGCATGCTGAATCCATGTTTCAAATGAGATGCCCTAAAGCTCCAAAAAATAAAATATTGCTGGTGAATTCTCCTCCAATAAATGCAGGTGTAGTTAGTTCATAAAGGTAAACTCTACCTGTACCCCTTAGAGGGCCCCTTAATTGAGTGTGATAATTAGATGTTTGTTTTGTCCAGTAGACGTTCGGGGAACACACCTAAAATATTGCCTCAGGAATCCCGGCTAGAGACTCGAGAATCGTACTAAAAATAGTACGCCAAAGTCCAGAATGAGATTACAGGTTACGGTTTAAATGAATATATAAATAAAATTAACAAAACTAAATTCTTTCATCAGATCCGAGTATCATGCAGTAATCAAAGCAATAACTTTTATCAATCCCCCCTTTTTTTGACAGCAAAACAGCTTTCGACTCCTTCTGCGGTATATACATATTAAATAAAAGTACCCAGACAGCCAGTGATTGGGTGCGTATCATTACCGCTACATTTTCAAAATTTTCATTACCGCTACATGCACATAACCGCAACAAAAAAGGATACATTACCGCTACATTTAAAAGTATACATTACCGCTACATTGCCTCT